TTGAGTTAGAAGTGCAGCTTAAGAAGAGGTTGATATGGCTGAATTAGAATGTAAGATCATGGAGGACGATAACCAGCTGTCCGTAGACAAGTGTGAAATAAATGCTAAGGTGGAAAGCCACTTGGATTGCGATACTAGCTGTACTAGTCACCCAAGAGAGATATTTAGCATCTCAAAGGGCGATTGAGTTGACGAGTTGAAGGATATGGTACATACTGTGGTTAATAATACGGTTTTGTAGAATTATGGTATACTATAATATTAGTACTGCTCTAATAATAGACCTAATCCTAAAATTGTAGACTTGTCATGATATAACTGCCTAATCTATAAGATCTTACGTGGAAGTCACACCATCGACTACACCAACTCACTGTATCGTATCAATTACCAATACGTGATGTAGAACAAGGTTAGGCCAGAGAAGGAACAATACATTTAATATGAATAGAAGATATAAGGTAACATTCGATAGGGACCACGCCTGCGTGGCCGAGCCATGCCATCCGATCAACTCCAATTCATCCAATTAACTGTTCCCGCCTTTTCCATCGTTAGGTATTTCTCCGCGTTAGATATTGAATATCTATTTTCCGAGTAGTCTTGTGTTCAGCTTTGAAGATTGTGTGGTTATAGTCCAGTGCCACTACAGTTTTACCTAAAATTGATATGATGTATTTTATGAACAATCGAGTCAGTCTACCAGCATTGTGGGGAGTAGACTGTCCAATTATGGCCAATCGTTGTCGTATTTGTTATATTATTGTAAAGGAATGGCCAGGGCGGCTAGTGAAGCTTGCATTTCTTTGCCCAGTCATTTGGGTTTTGACATAGTTAAACAAAGTTTATATGATTTGTATGGTAGGGAATACCTTGTCACTCGCGTGCTGATTACTGAGTTACTTAACCACAAATCTGTTGAAGGATCGTCCGATAGCTTAACTGACTTCGCAATTAAGCTGCGTAATGCGTGCATAACATTGAAGGAAATGGGGTATATGTCTGATGTGAAGTCTACGGCTAATTCGGAAATAATTGTGTAATGTCAACCCCTAGAATTACAGAATATGTGAATGGAAGTTGCCGATAAGACCATGGTGGCTGGGAAAGAGCCGATCTTTGAAGAAGCTGAGACCTTTGTGGAAGAAAGAGCCAGGATTGCTCGAACACGTTATGGTAGATTGGTTCAGTGTAACTCAAAGTTCGGCAAAATGAATTATGAAGCCCAAGCTGATAAGAGATCAAGCTTTAATGTAGTTAAGTGGGACCCAAGGAACTCATTCAAGATTTTAAGTTGCGAACTTCGTTTAGATGACCAAAAAGAGGCGGATTTTATGAAGTTATCGAAAATGAATGTTAGAGAAAGGCGACAGGAAGTGAGGGAACGTGGTCTGTGTTACCTGTGTTTAAGGGAGTGTCACATAGCCAAGTCATGCAACTCGGACACCAAGTGTGACCTTGATAATTGCAAGATTCGGTATAACTCATTGATACATATTGATAGTATTAATAACCAGTAGTGAACTTAGTTAGGGATTGAGACTCGTCAAATGCTTGTTTGGGTATCATTTCGATTAGACGGTATGGTCCGAGTGGAACATTGGAAACTTACACCATTCTAGATAGTGGTTCAGACACTTCCCTCGTATGCGAAGAGTTATTTAATCAGTTGGGTATCGAGGGTAAAGAGGCTTCGATGACAATAACCACTGTGAACGGGACAACTACCTGTAAATGTTTGAAAGTAAATTTGAAGATATTTTATTTGGATGAACAGGGATCTGTGGAAATCAACAAGGCTTATACGATTAAGAAGTTTGTGATCGATTATGTGGAACCTTTAAGCGAGGAACACCTGGGATAGTGGAAGCATTTGAAAGATATCACCCTTGCGGCATTGCAAAGTAATCTGGTAGGAGTGTTGATTGGGCGTGATACTCCAGACGCACATTGGGCTCTGGAACAACGTCCGAAAGACATGTAACATCCGTTCGGTGTGAGTACGCCTCTCGGTTTGATGGTTTTAGGTCTCAAAATATTATGTAGGTCCGTGCATTCAGTACAGCTTTGTCATTTTCACGATTTTTCACCGGATTTAGAAACTAGAACCTAACAAAATATCCCTAGATCGCATTCTGAGGATAGATTTGTAGGGCCAGTGAAATGTCACCGAGCCCTAGCCAAATCATTCAGCAGCTGGGTCACTGAATATCGAACAAATAATCGATCCTCGTTAATGTCAAGGACAACTAATGAGCATCAGTTAATCGTATGTCATGGACTGTCCGATGTGGTGGTGGTCTCGCTATTTTCTCTGTACACATTCTTACTAATAAATTTCCTGTAATAACGTCCTTTGTGTCGTGCACTCTACAAAGCTTATATAGTACCTTGATTTATTGATCATTCGACATAGGTCATCAACGTTGATGATCTACACATTTGACTGATTTTCTTAGAGTACGTAAGCTGTTTATGTTACTTTTGAGTGTGTGTTTACAATACGACATTGTAACAGGTTGAATTTCTACTCATTACCGAGTCAGTCCTCTTTTTTCTTGTGGCACTTCATAATTTGACGTTTCCAGAATATGGGAGAACTGGTGAAGTGATTTTGTTTGAGAGGTCATTAATAACGATGAGGTATAGAATTGAACTAAAAGTTTCTCTTGATGTTAGGAATTATATCGTTGAGACTCTCCTGCTAGAGAGCACTTTGTTTGCAACATCTAATTCTTCGGATAACGCCAAAGCTAAGATAAATGTGGTCCAGTGAAATACATTTATAGTGACTCACGCGCAATTGAGTTTATTCTCATTTAACTCAGTTAATCCCTTTTGCTAACTCATTTAGCGGACAAAGTCATCCGCACTATAACAACTTATTGTACCCTTATTATTTTGTGCTTGTATGAAATACGTATGCTCGAATATTGATTACGGCCTACGCATTTTTTCACTCTGCTAGTCTTACTACTAACTGCTTATTTGATTCGATTACTCATTCATTTCACATGGTATATATATGTCCATGTTATTCAGATTAAACACACACACACACTCGTCTCGCTCTTGCTCTGGCTCTTGCTCGCTTGCTTGCCTTTCGGCACAACTCTTCTATGCTTGTTTAACGCATCTGTACATTTGGATATATGTGTGTGGTCTCGCAATAAACGTAATCAACACTTCGTATTTGCCTTCTGATTAATATACCGTTGGGACGTTATATAGAACGGTTATCAGGACGAGCTGTATACGAAGTCTAAGGATTATGTCGAATACCGACCACCACACATTCTCATGACCTTTTCGATAAGGAGTGTGTGCAGCGATAATGGTTCTAACTACACAATTCACGAAGCTGAACACATAATTATTATTATGTAGCACTTGGAGGAGATCAGTGATGAAGAACGCGTGAAGAATCATTCAGGATGGCATGACTCGGTCGTGCAAACGTGGTCACTCTATGTGAAACCTATTGAATCTTGTATCAAATATACTATCTTCTGCTCAGCCCAAATATGTTCCTCTGAAATGTTAGACGTCATAGTGCCGATCCTTACGATAGGACAAGTCCGAATAGACAATGATGTGACTTCCACGTAAGATTTATATATTGAGTAGTCATATCATGACAAATCTAAAATTTTGGGGATGAGGTCTACTTTTATAGTAATTGTAATATCGAACCAAACCATAATCATGTAAACGTGTTCTTCATGATTAATTTAGGCGACATCTAGTCGATAAGAAAAACGGCCCATTGCAACTTAGTCAATAAAATTCTATCAATACCTGACATTCGTCAATATTCAGTCCTTAAATAGTTGTAAATGATGGAATGTTACTCTGACTGGTCTCATAAAAATAGAACTGAACGAAATAATCTACTCTCGTCATCTTGCTGTTGAACAAGGTCTGGTAGTACTGTAATGCGCATTGCCTCGTTAGACGTTCACATTAATAATCGTCACTACATGGAACTCACGGGATTAAATTCAAAAAGCGATAGGCTGCAACTAAATTGTTAGCTGATCGTGCGGACCACAGAATTACAAAACCATCATCGGTCAACGAATTGTTGCAAGCAAACATAGAGGCAAATCCATAGTCTCACCAAATAAAAACACGTGGAATCAAAGTACAGTTTCTCTTTAATACAAGCATATATATGTGACAGAAGGAGAATATTACATCGAGCTATATTTAAGCAACCAAGGTTTGAATTAGGCAAGAATATGCATGGGCTGTAAAATAGGCAATCAAATACGCAAGTTTACGTAGGTATGATAGCGATCTTACTAATACAAAGGTATAAATGAATTGTTACTATGTCGATAACATTGTCAGATGAGTGGAATTGACAGGGGTTAAGCGTTATCAAAAGTAATCATAAGAGTTCTACCACAACAACTCGCTGCCGCAATTTTCAGACATTTCTCTAGTCGTAGCCAAACTGTCTGGGGGATATCTTCAGAAAGTTCAAAAACAGTAATGAATCGTTTTACATTTAAAAGTTCATTTCCCGGATAGAGCCTTGAAATACTACATTTCTCAAACAGAACATATAGCGAAATACCCCTCGCCAAGAATTTTAAATTCAGATAAGGTCTTCATAGTCTGAAATAATACAGTTTACTATTCTTACAACTGAAGAATGATAAAATTCCAGAAAATATGTTCAAAATGTAATATGATTAACTATGAAACAAATATCTTGGGAAATAATATGATTTGTAAATAAATCACTCGTTTACGACAACTGATCTGGTGGGCGAAAGCCGGAAAACTACCATAGGAATATTAAACCAGTGTTAAATTCAGGAAGTTCATCCTTGTTCCCTTACGCTTTCTTAGCACTGAACTTGGAGAGTCTCACAATGCATATACTCGCTTGGCTTGCTTTTGGCGAATCACCTATTCCTACCTATAAAACCAAAAGTCATAGTTCTGAAGATCTGAAGTATTTTCCGGAACTAGAAATCTTTACAAGTTTTACGTATAGGGAATTCAAGGACACTTGTAAGGCGGAAAATCAAGTGTGACTTCATCCTTTTACCAAATAAACTATTGCTATTTTATTCTTCTGTGTCCTTCAATTTTTTATAATTCTGGGTTTAAGATTATTCTGATAACAGGGAGTAGCGTGTACGGGGTCGTAGATCGAGTGGAAAGTCACGAAATATGATTATACGGTTATTCACATATAAATACATGAACTATGCTGCAACTAAAGTTCTTCAAACCTCAATTTCAGCTGAAGTCACATTGTTTTTGATGAAATCGTTTTCAAGATGTAGTACGCAAAATTGTCATTTCTACAACTACGAGTGGCTCAATACTCACACCGCTTCATCATGAGTCACTTACGTATGGGACCAAATTTAACTTTCCATGTTACCGTTTAAAGCCAAATTTATTCCTTCTCAGTTTCAGGTTCGATGATATCGACTGTTGCATTAGTTATAGATCGTATTTCGACTTGTGATAATGGCGGTTACTAAGCAGCATAGTCTATCGTAGGTATATGTATCTGAATTCTGTCAGTTAAGTGAACATTTAAAAGTTTAATTGGTGATGTTTGTTCAGATCAAGCGAATTTGTTGCATTCCAAACGTCTTTCATGCTCAGAATACTGATCTTTTTGGTTTTTGAACAAACAGACGATGTCTGAGATGTATTAATGTGAAGTGACAAATTCACATTTGTAATGCTAAGTCAATGTACTCTAGAGACAAGCTAATTATAGGAAGTATTTTCACATTTTAAAAAATGTAAGAATTCCAGGTCAACGTTGGTCATATATCGCCAAGCTGTCAATTTTATGTGCGGCTGTATGTACTCGTAGACACATTCGGTTTGTTGTACCACTTACTGAAAGTTCTTAGGTCTCTGTATCTATTTCCGTTTTTGCATGTTGTTATTTTGATTTATTTATCACCAGTACGTTTTGTTGAATGTAGCATATGGACTCAGGAGTCGGTTGTGTTACGTCTACGTACACATCTGTAAGTTTTTCACTTTCTTTAATGCAGTTTTTATTTATTTATTTGAACATATAGACATTGGTACAAAGGGGCACTAAATACATATGCTCCGCACAAGTCACTTGATTTGTGTGTGGGCTGTGATAATGCCCTGGTGCCTAGACTGAAGCAGGTCTTTAATGTAGTGGTTAATGTTGATGATCGATCGATCGTGTGCGATTAACTGTTATAGAAAATGTTTAAGCATTCCTAGTGTTTGGTGTAACAACGGAGTAGACGTTAATAAAAATTACAAAGGCAGATTTATCTAGTCTTCATCTTTCACCTCAGGCAGAGTGAGGGCACACAAAAACCTCTCTACTTTTTCATTCAAGTAGTGGGGATAGGCAGGGTTATCCAATCTCACCATTTCTCCTAAAATTTGCTATCGATAACATTCTGAAAACTGATTTTTGTATTTTAGTATCTAAATAATTCCTTTTAACTTACTATGAGTTACAAGTCATAAGTAAATGTGTTGAAACTCGGCCCCCCAAATACAAGTAGTGCTGTTGGATTTGAATTCACAACTAATTGTCAAAGCCGATTTCACGAATTGCCAAACCACAGGATATTTGTCACTAATCATTAGCAAACTCAGTGTGTTTCATTCTAAAGTATTAGGTTGCTAAAGGTGATACCGAAGCCAGATAATGACCACAAGCCATTATATACTTTTGTATTTGTCTAAATTGTATGGGCTTCCCAGTTTAAATCATCAGATCTGCCATAGTTAGTTCAGAGATAGTCATACCAGGTTCATCATCAACGAATAGTTTAATTTAACACAACCAATTGGAAACTAACTACTTCGTGGCATATTACATTAAATTACTTCGGGGCTTGTCCCAGTAATCCAAGTAATATTCATAATTGGGTGGCTTTCGACGTTAGGATTTCACATTGTACAAATAACAATGTACAACTTGTCCATTTTTAATTGCATAGAATATGTGAAATGTCAAACTCGTGCTCCAGATTCTCACTTATAATCATTTTGTACTCATATGTAGTCACCAGGAATATTCAGAGATACAATATTTTGTTAATAATGTCAGTAAATTACCAACAAATATGGTAAACTTTGTATAAATTTCCCCCAAGTGAAACATAATGGAGAAGTGAAACGTTGTAGCTACTTTGTTTATTGTGTACAGTTTCTGTAGAAATTAATATATCGTCTTTGTTATGATTATTGTTTTCATAGACTAACCCAGAGTTGTATTTCCGGGATGGTAAACGCAGAACTGATTATGTGCTTGCTTATCGGTTTTCCACGTCGAAATATAATGATCAAAACCGACGCCTCCTGTTTCTCAATGAGCTAGCAAAGCAGAAAATAGAAATAGAAGTAAGTAAAAATGTTCTATTTCTCTCTTTAAGTTCGTGAATCATGTGTAAACTATCCACAAGGTGGCCTCTGTGTGTTATGACTATTCCATTAGAATCTAGTAATATTTTTGTAGTGTCTTTTTTTAAGTTACTCACAGAAAAGCATCTGTTACAATATTTCACTAATGCAACTTGTTGGCTTTCTGAATATAAATACCTCACCATTAACCTTTAATAATTGGCATGCTAGGTCAATAAACTCAAGAATGCATGCTCAGTTTTATCTTTAATTTCTAGTTTCTGTTCGTATAAGTATTTGATGTCTGATTCTAAGTTGATGATAACGTTCATCAAATTCATTTGCACTTAGTACTTATGTTATCAGTTCCTCTTAATAAACATTTTTTTAAATAAGTTATTTGAATAACAGACAGGTAACTTGGGTCCACTTAAGGACTTACTAACATATATTTTGGGGATAAAAAAGCCCTAAATGCACGATAAAGATTGACTCACAAGGAGCAGGTTGCTTTTCGTTCCGGTAGAGAATTCGTTGATCATATCTTCAACCTTCTCCAAATGTTAGAATACCGCCATACTAATTCCAGGCTAACAGTCGTGGTATTTCGTGGCATCATGTTCGCCTTCTATTCGTTGGACAGGACCGTTCCCTCGGATTGTCTGTTGAAGAGTGTGGCCGGTAGGTTTATTGACGTTTTGAAGGCCCTATATGAAAACACCTCAGGCAGAGTGAGGGCACACAACAACCTCTCTATTTTTTTTATTCAAGTAGTGGGGTTAGGCAGGGTTACCCAATCTCACCATTTCTCCTAAAATTTTCTATCGATGATATTCTGGAAACAGCGCCGATGGGTGTAAGTAGTGGTGGTCTGGATCCATTGCCTAAAAAAAGACTTTTTGACAATAAGCATGCCAATTATATTGTCTTACTGTGCGATGATACCCAAGCCATGAAATCTTTATTTCATCAGTTGTCAGTCATTTTCCGTAGGTATGGCATGTGTTTTGCACTTTATAAGTGGAAATTTCTTTTAAAAGACTAGAAGGACCTCGAACCTGCACTCATTCTTGGTAGTAAGCGGATAGAAGTAGTTGGAAAGTTCGTGTACCTGGGTAACTGTGGCGTGAGTGATGAGAACAATTCACGCATGGCGAAAATCAGAGGGGCTTCTGTCAATCTGGGCCATCTTTCGTGCCGTCATCTGACTGCATAAAGTCGGACCTATAATGAGTCGGTGAGAGAAGTTTTTCTGTCTGCTTGCGAAACCTGGCCTCTTAGTTGAGGATGTTAAGCAACCTTTTGTGTTTGATCACTGTTGTATCCAATGGATTGCTGACATTCATCGTTAACACCATGTTAGTAGTGCAGAGGTTTGGAAACGTGTGTTCAGTAACTGCAAAAATAATTCAATTAGTGTCACCACCTTGAAACATCGACCTTAGTGACTTGGACTTACACTACGAATGTCTTCTCAGCTAATTTGATATCTTGGAGCTGGTTGGAGAAAGCAGATAGGTAGGCAGTGTATGACATGGTGTTGTATCAAAGAAAGCTGCAATGGACTGGCTTTTGCTGCTCCTTAATGATTCTTTGTTTGGTGTTCTTAAAATGATACAACTCAGTGGATTGAAATGTTTTCAGACATGACTTAGAGTAGTAGTCAGTGGCTGTGGCTTTCTTTTACTTTCTTCATAAAATTGAGAGTAACTTCTTTAATTCAAAAAATTCTTTCTGGTTATATTTTTCCTAACTGAACTGCTTCTTCCATTATTGTTATTCCACTCTTATACATTGATTTCTATTCTTTTTTGTTCCTTTTTAAAAACTATTTTACCCACCTGTCTTTATCTCTTCACAGCTTCATTTTTTTTGTATGGCGCATATATATTTTGGTGCTCTCTTGTCTCGGTGTTTACATGTTCAAATAAATTAAATAAATAAATAAATAAATAAATAAATAAATAAATAAATAAATAAATAAATAAATAGCATACTGTATAAGAATAAAGAAAATTATTGAAGATTTTTTGGATAAAACTGTCGTCTAGTCCTCTTCTTAAACACTAAGTATGTGTAATTGAAACCGCATAAAAACAATCCTATAAGGATAATAGTAGCAAAGAATAAGCGACTGACAATAGAGTAGAATGATATATATAATGAAGTATTTTAAAGATTGTCCTTTTCAGATCATTTGAATACCAAAATTTCATCAAAAGTTAACCAGAACTACATTTATTGTACTAGCTTTTGCTAATAGTGCAACTCATTTACTAACTATATGTTTTGAGCCTATTTTTTTTCAAGGGAGGTTAGTGATATCAATCTTTACCCAAATTTAAGATGCTGACACAGTATTCGAACGTGTGACCTTTAAGTTGATATTTGAGTACTTTAGTTATTTATTGATAAAGTAAAATCGCCTCTTATCTTGCCTCCATACGTTGCTTGAATTGCTTACATCAGTTTGGTGTTAGGAATCAATGAAATTTTAGGCACCTAACAATCTCATGTCTGTCAAAAACACTTCATAAACATGGATATTAGTTGTCAACTCATTGTGTATTTACATACACACAACAGAACGTTTTAGAGCCACCAATAAAAATGCACAGTAATTTGAAGGTTTTGTAAAGAAAACTTTCTAAAATCAATTAAAAGTGAATTTATCGTAATTGTCATCATTTTCTCTATTCGTACACAAAAATATACTTCTCTGATATTATGGATTACCTCTTGTAAAAGGGGTAATGTTTAACATTTATTTTGTTTTGTTATTCATGGTTGTTTATATCTACAAACATTTCATAATATGCAATTGTTATACAAACTTATAAATCTTGGGGGTCATAATGTTTTGATTAGATTTTCATCGAATCTCACAGAGGTTCTATGTTTTTAAGGAGGTTTAATAGTTATCAAATTGAAACATTGTAAAATCCAAGCGGTATGATTAGTCGCCCAGTAATCTAGAATATTTTAATAGTTAAATTCATGAGTCGAATGAAGTTAGACCACCATAGAAAACCTGGGAGCACTGGACGGCCGTTTCATGGATTAGTTGAGGTTAGACATTAACACCTAGATGCTGGCTCAGTGGTCTAGATGTTAAGCGCCCGCGGGCAAGACTGATAGTTCCTGGGTTCGAATCTGGCGAGGCGGGATCGTGGATGAGCACTGCTGAAGAGTCTCATACTAGGATGAAACGGCCGTCCAGTGCTTCTAGCTTTTCCATGGTGGTCTAGTTTTAATCGACTCATAAATTCGACTATTAAATTACTATAATATACGGAATATCCCTCTTTGATTATAATCTAGGATATGTTATTAAAAAGAATGATTTTTTTACGCAGATTGAAACCATAGATAATTTCTAATGGTAAAAATAGTGTTATTTTGAAGGTAGAACTGAATTACTCTTTTATCGACTCAAGAATCTGCATATTTGACGTACATGTTTGTTCAATTTATAACATTCAACCTTTGGTAAGTTTGCATCTAGTGTGAAAGTATGTTGTATGTTAGAAATGTGATGAACCTCATGTGTGAAAAAATCAGAGAGAATAACAAGAGAAGTAGAGTGATCCAACTTGTAAGTAAAAACAGATTGCTCTATTGTTCAGATAATGAAAGCAATCAATAATAATTAGCAATATCGGACATGAGGTTAAAGCATTTTGACAATTCAAACTAGGAGTTAGTAAAGTGAGATTTAGAATGCGTTATAGTTGTAGGATAAAGTAATAAATAAACCGTCATATTCTAAAGGAAAAAAATTTTTTTAGGGTATTACTCATCCTTTTGAAGTAGATATCTGCGTCTATCGTAAAAGCACTTTCAACAATTTTCTAAAAATCCTAATACTTTTACAGCGTATGTGTCTGTTTGATAAGACAGACATTTTAGTGCAAAATCTTCATTATTTTGATGATGTTACAAACCAACTATTCTTTATCAAACAAATAATCACTATAACTCTTATAGGTAATTAACAGCGAGAAGTCAGAACCGGTTCTTTTGTTGTATTGACTTTTTGATTCGGATATCTGTTGTTTGCCACTCGAGTTGCCTAAAAACTGGTAAACGTTATTTACAAAAGGTGTGAGATAGCACTTTTTCAAACACTGAGCCAGTAAAATGAAAAGAGGCTTCATATTTACTTGTATGTATGGTCTATATTTCTCTATAGATGTAAATCACGGTTTATTAGAGTAGAAGATGCTTAAACTGTACGTTTTTTATCGATGTCTTACAAAGAGGCACCAAATACATATGCGCCACACAAATCTCATTCGATATGTGTGAGGGCTGTGATACTGCCTGGGTGCCTAAATCGAAGCTGGTGGTTTTCTTAGGGGGCCACTCCCCGAGCCTTCGACCTGAAGGTTTGATCTACAAGGCAATGGAGCATCGTAAGGAGATGCAGTCCCATGGAGGCCGGTGACCAACAATTGGTTCGTACGCCATTTGTTCCCGCAGGATACTGGAGTCTATGTGCACCATTGGTTTGGAATCCGGTTAAAGCGCCAGACATTCGCTTTTCGTCCTCTCATTTTCGTAAACAACACCCCGGCCACGAGAAGGTAGTGAGTAGGACTTCCCTGGCAGGGGCTGTATACGCGTGGCCATGTGAGAGCATTTGGAGAGGGAGAGCGGGCTCTCCCCACTCTCGGCCGTACCAGGGCATTTGGGCGCTTACAAGAATTACTTGCGTATCATGGAATGACTGGATGAACAATAATTGAGTGTACCAGTCAAGGTCGGGATGTTGGTTAGTGAGGTTGTAAATATCGTCGACAGAAACGACTGAGATATGTTACGTATATCTGATCACTGCCTGCCTCAGCGTGCTGTGGGCTAGAGCAGGAGTATGTTATAAAAAAGCTAGGAATGGCCAAACTAAGATAGTGTCAGTCTGTGAAGTCGTTGACTGACAGACCAAGCCGTATTGAAAAATGCAAACTACCTGGTTGGTGTCCGTGTGATAACCAAAAACGGTGGTTAGAGGCATTGGGTGACATTAGTCAGAATTCGTTACAATCGCTAACATTCATCCACATTTTGTCTTCCACTAAATCTGCAGTTCCAGCATTCTTTCATGCATACCTTTTCATTTCTTCATTCATGATATACTCAGTGTTTATTCTATCTCACCATCAGTTCTACTAAACTTATTGTAATTCCTTTTTTATTTATCTTGTTAATCCTCCTTCATTGTGCTGACTTGGTATAGTGATTTGATTTATGCCAGCTTCTTTATTGATGATGGCTAACTTTCTCTCGTATGTATTTTCTGTATGTTATCATATTTTGAACTAATTTGCATGTTCTTCAAGTAAACTCACATATTGTTTTCTCAATTACTCATTCCAATAGAATAAGTTACCTTATTAAATATATTTAATTGATATATCATTATTTTATAAGTGTATTATAAATTTTATAAATAATGTTTTCCTATCTTTTTTTATTTATCCTCATTAGGTTGAAGATTCTAATGGTAATCTACTTGGTGCTACTGTAGCATCAAATGAAGATGAATTTTCATCATTAACTCTTAAACCATCATTTATGCATTTACAGGCCAATGCACCTCTTCACCCAGGAGAATATTCTGAATCTCTTATGCCTACTTCATCTATTGATTATGCAGAACCAGATAAACCAACAGATACAAGTCCACCATCGTGCATGGATCGTTATCGTCACCAAGCTTTGGATGACAAAACAATTTTGATGACTCCAGATAATTTAGTCTTTGTTAAATTACATGCTTCATGGGAAGCAATGACATATTATGCAGAGTATTTAAAAATGCGTAAACCACTTCGTCAAGTGAGTTTAAGTAATTATCAAAATTTTGTGGACAGTAACTAAAAAATACAGTCTTATCTATTATCGAATTATCACATATATTTACAGTGAGCTCTCGTAGAATAAATAAATGTGAATGATAACTAAGTAGTTAAAACACTCAAATATTCAACATTAGATTACATTTCCGAATCCAACACCCCATTGGATTCGGTTGTTTTGCAACTTGGGAAAGTATCATCAACTCCTCACATAAGATATTTTGCTCAAAGCTTAGTAGTACTAGCAGTATGGTGCATGCTACTTATGCTGACAGATATAAGCAGTATATAGCAGCAATTAGAAGTGAAATGCCTTCCAGTAGAAGATTGAGAAGATTAAATTGAAGAGAAAAGAAATGTAAATAATAAAGCGCAATTGTTCTAACTACAAAAATGGAAAGAATCATGAAACATGTAAAGGATAACTGAAAGAAGATGTGCAAATAATGTATTACATTTATGATTTTCATATTTTATAAAAAAACACTCTATAATTTTGATATAAACAGTAAATTGTTTATACCCACCAAGTTTTTATTTACTTCAGTAGTATACTCTAAATAAATGAACTAAAGTTTTTGTAAAGAAAGAATATTGAAGATAATTATAAATAATTATATGTCAAAACGGAAGAATATCAATTGTAAAATGTAAACATAAAAATGAAGTTGCAGAGCATTGATACACATGAAACGTTGAATTAATATAATTACGAATATCAACAATGCGTTAAGGTTGTATCCTAAACACATTCCATTAGTGTTAGCTTAGTTTTCTGTAAGTATCTATGATGTTTCAAACATTACTTAAGGAATAACAAAATATACATATGATTTTGTACATTTAGTGTTCTATGGTTAATTATTTTAATTAAAGTGGTTAGTTATGAGCTCTTTTTTTTGTTATTTGAATGATAAATAGAATTATATTCGATCATGTTTGATTGATAACATTTAATTACTGATAAAATCTGCCGAATAATGAAGTAGTACAACTGGTTAGGAAATATATTAATTATTGTTTACGAGAATGGGGATTTTTGTGGAAACTATAGTAATTCTAATAGTTGAATTGATGAATTGATCTAAGCCAGACCACCATGGAAAACCTGAAAGCACTGGACGGTTGTTTCGTCCTAGTATGGGACTCTTTAGTGGTTCTCATCCACGATATATCAAGCGAAATCTAAGGGTTAAGCGTTCGCGTGCGTGACTGAAGCTCCTGAGTTTGAGCTCCACGTGCAGGATTGTGGATGCGCACCGCCGAGGAGTCCTATAGTAGGACGAAACGGCCGTCCGGTACTTCCAGGTTTTCAATGGTGATCTAGCTTAGATCAATTCAGCAATTCAACTGTCAAAATTATTGTTTAGTAAAATAAAAGTGATACACAAAATAATGTTGTTCGAATAAGTTAAAAGCGTAAATAATTGTAGGATACAAGTTTTGTACATCGACTAGTTGTTCACCTAATCACATTTCATCACCTTCCATAATTATTTCGCAATATTTAATTTTAATAATAGGTAAAAGTAAAACCATTTTAGCACTTCTACACTTAAAATTAATTTGATTTATTATGATTGATTAAATGACTGATAATTCACCGTTGAGTACTTTATTACTATTTTATTTGTATGATACAGGGAACTTAGTCAATTAATTGTAGGGATCGTAGAACCTGGCATATATGTTCTAGTTAGCATATCATGTGAAGTTGAGAAAACAAATACCAGAGTAATAGAAGTAGTAACGGTATCAGTTAAAGCAGAAAAGTAGTTATAGATGAATGGTATGAGACATGTATGAGTCATGTTGGTAGGTGTAGACTACCTGGTTGGGGACCACAAGATGATAGCAACCGATGGTAGAGACTCTGAATGACATGACTCAAAATCGTTTGCAATGGCGCAGATGCATCCACTTTTTGTGTCCTCCCAAATTTTGGTCTCCCTATTCCTTCTTGTCTCTTTTTTTCTCTTCTCAAATTTATTTCACTGTGTTATACTCTTGAAATAACATCTCCAAACACTAATTTTCCTGATTACTGCTTATACTCTTATTACCTCTACCACTACGGGATTTGAATCGACCACTGCATCTCTGTGCTAATGTGGTGTGGCAACTCGAACTGATGTACGTACGTACGAAGTTCTACGTTCTTACTGACTGACTGAATGGTATGAGAAAGTAAAATAAACTGACAGAATAGAAAGGATGAGATGATTTTAAAACTAAAGAACTAAAGGAAGACAAAGAGTGAATTCATCTGCGCTATTTCACCTAATGTCTCCAATCATTAGTTACGATAATCGTGACCTCACCATTCAAGTACTTCGCGCCTAGCACTACTCTATCCAATAGTCAGTGAATTCATGGACTAATGCCAGGTCTTAGTTTAACCTCCCCTAGGTAGAGTTAACTTACTGATATTCGATCACTGGACTGGAATCTAGCGTATTAAGTTCTTTAATGTACATTACTTTACAACTTCCATCCAATATTATGCAAATTATTTCTTTAAAGTAGAAGTTTAAGAGAGTTTTACGGGTTCATGAATAACAGCAAAATATTATTCGATGAAGTTCTCATTGTGAACTAAACTCGTCAACTGAACAATCGTGAGAAGCCAATTACTCTTCGATTTTGCACCATACATCATGTTTAAGATCAAGCTCAGAGTTCTAGTGTGTTTTCATCCTGAGCTTCTGTACCTTATTTTCAGGAATAATCTACTCAAAACTATCTCCAGAAATACTGATTATTTTGTTCAGCCATATTTTAGATTCAGATTTCTGACAAATTTCTTTCATTTAAAAATGAATCTTTAATGTTGTATAGTTTGTTCAAACTTTTTCCTTACCCTATCTGAACATTTCAACTGGGAAAAGATGCAAGTTATCTGTTACATATTTAATTTTCACTATTAATTGCAAACTGTATCTTATCCGAATCTGTAACCTATATACAAATACTTTTCATAACAAACTGAACAGAGCTAGAACAGTTTATCCATCTTAGTTTGGGATTTGTTTATAGTGAAGACACTTCACTGTGCCTGGGATCGAAGCCTGGACATCAAAGTCTACTTACCATTGAATCAACCAAAGTGATCATTAAGCAGTCAAAATTTAATAACTTATTTTTTACCATGAAACATTTTGCTTTTCGGTAGTAATCTCAAATAGTGTGAGATGTTACTCCTGCTCACTGCAATGATATTATCAAAAAATTAGTATATTACATACTAGTTTCTGATAGTTTTTGAAGTGATGTTACTTCCAGACACACATAATTAATGATGAAACTCGTTTATTTAAGACACTATCTGTATTAACACCACAGGTGGTACTCGGTGGCTACCCAAATTTCATACAAAACTCAAACAACCTAAATTAATAGTCTCTAATTTCTTTCTTTGAGCGAACAACCAAACTTAGTAAGATTAAAACATGATGATCTCAAAAATTATGTTCTCAGATAATTTCCGGAGTTCTAGTGAGAAGCCATAACCATTGGAGTTCAAAAGTGTCTAGTGCGAAGCAGTTGTCTTCAGAAGATAATAGAGAATTTCTAAGCAATATTGAGGATTGATTGAGGTTGGACATATAAAAAATTGTATACTGGCTCAATTGTCTAAAAGGCATACGCTATGTGCGATCTGAATGACCTGAGTCTAATCACCGTTTAGGTTGTGGATACACACTATTGAGAAATTTTTTCACTAGGAAAAAACGAAAAAACAACTCTCCAGTGCATCCTGGTTTCAATGGTTGTTTAACCAAGGTCACTTATTGATCTCAGTAACATTTGAAAATCTTTACAAACTTTCTACACCGATAATTATCATATATTCATTAGTGACTAATTTTGAGGTAATTCTTGGAGTTATAATACGAAGCTTATAACCAACCAGTGACATTAAACCATGTCAAGTGTAAAGCAGTGATTCATCGAAGATGATCAAAGATAATTGTTCAATATCTCGATTAATTATTATTCACTAGCTAATTCTTCATATTTTATATCCAACTCTAATTGTGTTTACATTAATTTTTAAAGTCTGGTAAAATTTTTCAAGTAAGTTAAAATGATAAACAAACAATAATTAAGATACATAAAGTTTGTTTCTTTATTATGTAATGCTTAAATGAATCATTTAGATCATTCATAATTATATGATTTCTATTGTAATAATTAAAAACAAACAAGTAACAGAACAATTTATTTGTGCTTGATTCATTTTACTGCAAATATTGGCAACCATTGCTTAGTTCATAATTAAAACAATCGACATCAATGAATTTACAATGTTTTCATTCATAATTGTGTGTTTTTTGTTGTTGTTTGGCTTATTGTACTTAACTTTATGTATAACATTTTAATTGTAAAGATTAATGATATTATACTCGGTTGGTCAAAATGAAATGGGATTTAATTTTTTCCTCTGTAAGTTGAATAACTGAACTACTGAGGTATACTTAGTCAACTTTATGAAATGATTACTATATTCAATGTTTAAATATACATTCTGTAAATCATTTTGTGACATTATTAAAAATATAACTTATTTAGTATCCTCTTTAGTATAATACGGGATTTGTAGTATTTTCACAGTCCTAATGAAAAGCTGTGACCAGTGGAGTTCAATGCATGTCGCATGTTATGTAATTATCCACCATAGGGAATGGATAAAGGGTTGCATAAGATCATGGATTGATTGAAGTTGGACATTAACACCGTTGGATCCCGACTCAGTGGTGTAGAGGTTAAGCGTCCGCGCGAATAACCGATGGTTTTTGGTTCGATTCCTGTGTGTGTTCGTGGATGTGCACTCTTGGGGAGTTTCATACTTAGACGAGATAGCCGTCAATTGCTTCTAGATTTCCAATGTCTATCTTGGAACCAGTGATTGACCAAGTTGGTTTTCAACCGCAACACACAATACTTTAGATTATCATTAAAGTATATTCTAAAATTTCTTGCTACCAATATTACAATAAATATCCATTATACTGTATGTGTATCCATCCCTATTTTTATCTGTAATGATTGATAGCAATTAATTCAATATTTTTGCTGGCTTGTTGTTGTATACAAACATAAAAAAATTTCAGCTAGCTTATGGTTGGAAAGTAAGTATGTTATTTTCTTGCTGTTGAACAACGGTAAATGTACGCATGCTTGTGTTTGCTTTCTGACGAATAGTGACCTTGATTAGTGTACACATTTGCATGTGTTTATGTGTGTTTATATTACTAGTTTTCCATAGCTTGTTGATAAAATGACAAGTAACTAACCTTCCACTATTTATTTTGCCTTTACTATTTACTAGTATTTTATGTATCAGTATCACTTATCACTGTCAACTGAAGTGATATGGATAAACAAATAACGCTAAGCCTAGATATTTCAGATTTTGTTTTACGCAATAAATATTGGATATATCTGTGCATTATGTTGCTCAACAGCCACCAAGATAACTACTAGCTAACACCTCTTTGTATTGTATTGATCAACGGCTAGGAACTACACAGTAACAAATCTTGACCTGACTCCTCTAAGGACTTTTCAACTTATTACTATCCTTATTTTTATCTTATATAATACACATAAAATCTGGTACAACTGGTCACTTCAAAATAGTATGCACTATACAGAATAAAGCGATAATATTCTGAAAAATTAAAGGAGGGGGGAAGAGAATGCAATAAAGAATGAATATATGAGTGAGAATAGTACACAGTAAGCGTCATAATATTCAGTTTAAAATGCATTCAAGAAAGAATTCCAGCTAAAGCATTTCCTCTTACTATTACGACGATTGTAAAAAGAAACCACAGCGCCATCCTTAATGTCTTCTATTCTAAGCTATGTCTGTTAATGTTTCAAGTTACCGAGTTGTACAATCTGTAGGACCCCCCTAGCCAGGTAATGAAAAAGGTTACCTGTCCTATACAGTTTTCTTTTGTATCCCAGTGGCATTTCACATTATACTGGAATGTCATTCCAATAGTTTAAAATACTTTAGCATTTGAAGGTTCTTTGAAATAGGTGATTACAACTTACTTTTGTTGATGTGATAAAATTGTTTAATATTTAAAGTTTGTTGACAATATGACCATATTATATATTTTCACTGTGTTTACCTATTGTTAAACCATTGGATGAGTGTATTCAATACCTTGTTTTTATTTTCCCTTGGTAAAGTTGATAACCATTTTAGAAAAACATTGTAGTTTTCTCAAAACTACTCAGTTTCTCTTAGATCTTTATGAAGATCCATAAATACATTGAATGGAAATGGATTCATTTATCATTATAATTATTTGGAATGTTATCTTTTTAAATAAAAATCCGACTGATTTATGGTTTATTGTCTTGTTCTAATGTTTGAACTATCATTTTACTGACCTTTTTTCTTCGTTATCCCTTTTCGTTTTCTTTACGTATGTCTTTATTGATTTCAATATATTCTCTTTTGTGTTGTTATAATGTAGTATTTTTTAATTATTATTCTGTTTCACTGTATAATTTGTCTGTTTAATTAACTCACCGATTTGAATGATTTCACATAGTAAACTATGAGAAAAGTTTAATGGGTTCAACAAAACTCTGTACATGAATGAATGAATGAAGTTACTTTTATTGAATTGGTGTTGTGGATTTCAATGTAGTTTTGTCGGTCAGTCTCATCAGCATAAAAGAGTTTTTAAATCATTTTTGTTTAGTTAATTTTGTCGGTGATGTAGAGTTGTTGTGTAATGTACTGAATCAATTGCGTTTTTTCTGTCATTTGTGAGATAATGATCACGCTAATTGTATGATTAAAGAAACTGTGTAAAATATCTTGAGAATTACCCCTATATATACTTATAGATCAGTTTGATCTGTTGTTTTGCTTTCTACGATGACTTTATTTTATTTAGCATATTTCGGGTTCAGTGTCTCTCACTGTTGGTTACATATGCAGATCATTTATATTAAATACGTAGTATAAGTTAAATTGGACAAGTTTGGCTATCTTATGTGTGTAGCGTCAGCGCCTATACAGGTCATGTCTAAATCTTGACATTTATTCGGACGCTATGAACAGGTCTGTTTTGGATAACTCAGTTGAGCCATTTTAATCGGGCCACATTTTTAATCCAATTTCTTCGAATTCCTCAAAACGAAGTGTTCTTCTCAATAGACTGGGTAATTAATGCTAGACATAACTTACCAGCAATCGCATGTTATTTCTAGATCAAAACGTAAGTAAGAAATTATAGTTGAGACATGTTATTGGAGGAAGTCTATTGTGCTCTTAGTCAAGGCTTCAGCGTACATGTTATTGTCTGAGTTAGAAGGACAAAGGTAAATATTGCAGTTATATGTGTGTATATTCATTCAGTTTGCCAATTAAAGCCTTCTGGTTATTTCTCAGTTCTCACTCGTATAGCTGATTGAGTTAGCGTATAGGAAGTGTGTATATCTGAATTGGAGGCCGAAGAACATAACACAGCCGTAAAGTGTCAGTTAACGACACAGTTTGTTAAATATTTTCTTATTTCTTCCCTAAATTCCCTTCTATCACTTTCCAATCCATTTTCGTTAACTTCGCCTCTCTTTCTCACGTGCAATCTATGCTAGGACTCGAATGTGCTAAATTGAACCGATTCACATTTATTCCAGGTCCTACGTTATTTACATGTGGCTGACACAAATTAAATTGTTTATTTTAAGCGAACCAGTAACCAACTAGCAATTAGTATCATATGAATGTCTATAATCGTTATCAATTTTTTCATACCAAGTAGGGTAGTTTGATCACCATTATCAGTGATCAAGTTTACTTCATCAAATTATTGATTGTGATGTATTCTGAAATTTCAGTATAGTCTACCATCCGATTAGAACTTATTGATAAGTCAACTGTCTGTCATTTGGACGGAAATCATACACTTCTAAATTTTTATGATAGGATCGTTCAGTGATTAAATTGTAGTCTGATTTATGAGCTGTTGACTTTAAAGGCTTCCTCAAGATTTTAACATGAAGGTATCATGTTCAGCTTTCAAATCATAGGAAAATCTCACTAGCTTAGAGTATATGATTTATGCTAGGTTTCTGCGTTATTCAATTTTTCAGTATTGTGTATAATTATGACGCGCCAAAACCCTTTTCACAGTAAGGTTATTTTATTATGGTCACATTTTATTTGAAGAATATAGTTTTGGTTCAGTATACTAGGGTTTATTTCTTATTTAATAAAAATCTAGTAAATACCTCATCAAGAACGGTAGTTTGATTAAAATTCTTGCTTCTTCCTATGGCTCTACTGTTAATAGTATGTAAGTTTTGAATATTATTATATCTCCCGCATCATGTTGCAGTAAGGAACCAAAAAATATACGTTACACAACCAAATTACATTGTTGAGAAATAAAGAGAAAGGGGTGATTCAGAAAAGTTTAGTAAAAGCTATAAATATATTTTAATAAGTATTTAATAAATAGTCGTATAACTCAACTTATGAACCGTCTTATAACTCATTTACTGATGATGTTCCTTTTACCGTTCATACATCACATATCAGTCAACATTGTTTTAAAATTACTTTGCGTCTCGGTCATGTACTTTGGAAAAACTGAGTTATAAATCTGAATAACATACGTACTTGTAACTAGTTATCTGAATTTCTGGCGTTCCAACTCAGCTGTATAGGGATGTTGTAGTTTGCATGATCTATCAACCATGTGATGAATACAGTAACGGATTGTGAGTTTATTGTTGGGAGTATATTCATAGTCAAACATATATTATAGTAACAACACAAATATTTTAAAGGATCTTCTCGAAGTGTAAATATAATCAAGAAGGGTTTCATAGTTGACCTAATTACATCGTATGGTTTATGAAGAATAACAACATGTTGCTACTCGATTGTTGTCTGAATCATACGTATTAGCCTAAATCGTTTACGACTTTTCTTTCGTCTACTACAAAAACATTTCTGTTCTAACTGCTGTGAGTAGAGGATCATTTGAACTAATATTTAAAACTTTGATAAGGCTGGATAATGGATATCAGTGAAAACCGGAACACTCGCCTTGTCCTATTTCTAATTCGTCAGCTAGACATGCCTGCATCCCAGTGTTATTATTCCCACTGAAATTCGAACCTAGCACCTGTCACCTCAAATGCCATTATTTTATACACTGAGCTTTATTCCTGTAATTTAGAAGACCGCTTATCAGTCTCCAATCTTTGTAATACATAATTCTAACGTACAGATGACAGACCAGAAGTAATATGGTTTTATCCTCTATTTGTATCTTACGTAAATAAATTTCATGCTTTGTTTCCCATGTCAAAATTCTAATTATTGTAATGCCTTCTAATATTGGATTTCAGTCCCAACGAGAATGTTGACTAGAATTCAGGTACATCCGGCTGATGGGTCCTAATTAGGACTAAATGGACATCCTGAATTCCATTACTGGTCACTATTTATTTGTCATATTAGTCTGTAGTTTACCTATTTTTTTCAAGAAAAATACGTTTATTTGTTCATTAGTTCTTTGTTTTGTTTTCATTTTCTAATTAGCTGGAGAACCGACCACCTAAACCTTCTGTTTTAAAGGATTACTTTAAATGTTTACAGTCGGACAAAAATATTATCAAACCAATCGATTCATGTTGTACTTGGCCATTTTCACTGAATAGGCAATACTTGTAAGTTGTTACACTTTTTATTAGTGCTATGAGGTTTGTGCAAAATAGTATTGATTTTTACTTCAGAAGGTTTATGACGACTGCTGCATATCATGGTTTGCAACACCCAATGATTTTAGTTAGACAATCATTGAAAACAAGGAAGTACTGAACATCTGTTTAGTCCTAGTTTGGGAATCGAGTCCAGGATATTTAATTCATTTTTGTATTGTTTGTTTGAACAGTTGATCAGCCTCTTATTGGCATATGTGCATTTTGTGCATATTGTCTTGATATTTCCTTAAGTCACAAACATTATAAGCAGCGATTATGACTTAAGGCAATTCGCATAGGAAGCACATATGCCAATAAGAAACTAATCAATTGCAATCCTAAACATCAGTGAGAAGATTCGAACAATCAATACAAAAATGGATTAAACTTCACCTGATTGCACAAGCTTGTAGCTATCAGGACTGAGTATGTAAGTGGATAAAGCGATGGCGTTTGAAGCGAACGTTACTGGGTTGGAGTCCCGTAGTGAACATCAACTCTGTTATGCTGTTACATCCAACTGACAAGTCCCAAACCGATCGAAACGCGTGTCCTATATTTCGCAGCTTGTCGTCATCATCTCTGCTTATAATCCAGGACGCTTAGTTCTCGCGGTGAAAGCCAAATATTTAGACTGCTGGGCCTATACTACGGCGAAACAGCTCTCCAGTATTTCTTGGCTCTTAATGGTTGTATCACTTAAATCGGTCTATGAGGTAGACAATTTAATCTTGATTGTTTTTGGTCCTTTCTATTTATTTCATGTTAGATAGTTAGATTAAGTAATATCAGTCTAAGATGTATGAATATGTTTTATGGTAAATATTTTCTTGGTGAAGCGATAAACCCTCATCGACTGTGGGAGTTAGGACGTTTGTTAAGCATGCATAACAACCTCATATTTTCATGTGCAACAGCGGCTGACATATGAGTATGTTGGATAAAGCGTTAGCACTTACAGATCATGACTTATCATCAATTTATAAAGCCATTTATTGTTGATGTGATCTATATCGGTAGATCTAGACTTCTTTGTTGGAGGTCACGTAATGATCTTTATCGAAGTTTATAGATAGTGAATAACGTAGTGAACAGCTGGCTAAAATATTGCAGTGGTTAAATTACTTATTTCTCTTTCTTGAGTTCGATGTAATTTGTTCTTTCAAACTGTTGTTTCCAAAGTTTAGTGTTTAAATTATCCGATTGATATTCAGGATTGAATTTTTACCAACCTTTGTTGGGATATATACACTTTGTACCAGTTAATTTAATGTAGCCTTTTTGTCACAAGCTGTATAGAGCAGAGCTGGATTCCGATGCTAGTTACAATACATGTATTCTATATAAATCTGTAGGATGGGTTGTCATTCTTTTATCATTATCATTATTCTCATATAGGTCACTTCTTATATATATATCCTTATGTTTTATCATTTATTTATAGATTTGATATACCAGAAAATAAAGATGAATTTTTCACTGCAGTCGAACGAGCTCTTGTCTTAGATCATATTCTACGGCGTACCGGTTATAAATCAGAGGATTTAGTGAATACTGAAGATCTATACGAACCTAGCATTAGTAAGATTTCCGAATATATATATGTATATGTTCATGCGAGAGAGAGGGAGAGTATTTTCTGTTATCGATTGAAGTTCATTTCTTTTATAAATATCCATTTATACTACTATTTGATTCATCATTTTACAATTTCGATTTGCTTAAATCCAATCTCCATCAAGGAAACCAATAGAAGGTTGTATAATTCAAATATCTACCGGATTGATGAAAACTTCCTGTTGTGCTATAACGTTTCACCAATTTCACGAGTGTTGTTTAATAAAGAATACTCCACTGGTCACAGCTTCTCATTAGAACTCCGAGAATTACCTCTCGAAACTAATCACTAGTGAGCACATGATAATTTTCAGTTTGGGTTTGTGGAGATTGTTGAGTGACCAGTAGACTTCAACCGTGTCGGGTGTGACGCAGTTACTCACTGGAGAAAATGAAGAAAACTATTATTATAATATCATATCATGTATCGTGAAGTGCTTCTTAGTATAGAAGTACTCTATCAGGGCATATTCATGAACCTACCGTGATTGAATCTAGGATCTTTCGGGTTTTTTTGTCAATCACTTAACATTTAGACTATAAGACTAGCATCAGAATTGAATGCTTACAAAATTATCTATTTCTGGAAGTTATTAACTATTAAATTCTATATCGAATGCAATATGCTTTATTCTCAAATAAAGATTGATTAGAAAACTACTTTTTTTCTTCACTAAACAGTCTGTTACCTAAATGAAGTAGGAAGTGAAGAAAAATACTAAAATGTCTGACATTTATATTTTTGATTTTAGCTACAAGTTATACGAGGTTTTATACTGATCAAAATTGTCGCAACCGTATCTAACTATAATAATCTTTGTCTATACTAATTAACACAAGATCATTGTTTAATGATGTTGAATTCATTAATCGGTGCGAATTAATTTCGTGTACTTGGTTTTAGTCTGTTTTTTTAAAAAATATTTAGGTCACTTACCTACTGTACAAAATGATATAGATTAGTAGAAAGAACGAATACAGCGAAGGAATTTCTCTTTAATTAGTGTTTCATATATATACTCATTAAGTAGTTGGGTTACATAATCACCATACGATGTCACAGTGACTATAAAATAATATTGAGTAATTAGATGAAAGAGGATTATAATGATAAGAGTATCAGAAGGGGTTTTGTGGGGATCTTAAAAATTTCAGTAGTTGAAATCATTAGTCAATTGAAGCTAGACTACAATGGAAAACCTGGAAGCACTGGACGGCCCCTTCGTCCTAGTATGGGACTCCTCAGCAGTGTGCATCTATGATCCTGCCCCCCGCAAGGTTCGAACCCAGGACCTACCAGTCCAATAAGAGTAACTGCTCGAGAAAACTAAACAGTTTCTACATTACATAATATATAATATATAATATAATGTCCACAAAACCCCTTTCTGATTATAAAATGTGAATACTCTAACTATTCAGTGATTCTTCGTTGTTCACTTCTTTTTACATCTCCTGAACTTCAATGAATGTATTGGTTAGTTAATGCAAGTAAAAGGAAACAATATTTACTTTCCTTTTGATTCAATACAAACTATCGCTTAAATATTAAACACTTGGCATTGAACTAAAAATTGGTTGACAGTCAACTGTAATTGTTTGTTTGATATAGCATATAGTTGGATTAGTATTCAGTTGCCACTTCTCTAAATCCAGTCTTAACTGAAAAAATGTCATAAGTTGCGTTAAAGAAAATAACCTTTGAGTATACCAAGATATCTGTAACCATTTGCCTGTTTGCTTGTTTGTCAGTGGTTGGGATATGTGTCCGTGAATCTGTAATGTATCTGCTTCTCAATGTTCAATATGTGTACATCATCTAGCATTTTTCTGTTTATCTAATAAGTGAATGTTACATATAAGATCATAGTTTCTGCTGGGGATTTCATTTTAATCTATAACTTTCATTTCATTTGCTTTTTTCATTCCGCAAGTTGGGATGTGCTACAGTGCCCTGTTGATAGATCAATATATCTAAATAGTCTTAGGTGATTAAAATAAAGTTCACAGTGAAAATTACATTCTTATATCCAAGGCTAACAGATGAATTAGATAAAATGCCCAACAGTGCCAGATATGGCATTAGTTATTTTAACTATTTATGTACTTATCTGTTTTTCATTTCTGTGAAACACATAAATAGGTGATATTGTAACAAGTCATGACCTCGCAGATGGAAACTCGGGATCATCGAATCAAGCTAATTCATTGTATGTAATGGCAACAAAAAATCTTGGCATAACTAAACTGATTTCCGATGGAATTTTCTCAGCTGCTTATCCATTACATGAGGTAAAACAAAAGAATTATTTATTTAAAGAAAACTATTTCATAGGAAAAATATATTATGATTATTCTTACTAATTATAACCGCTTTCAGGTTCTGTGTGTACGATGTAGAGACTTTAAAATCAATAATGTATCAATAGATTTTTAGTGGCACGCCAACTGGTTAAGTATTTAAATTGTGATCGTGAACTGATCAATATTAGACTACCCTTAAAAACTTAGTAGCACTGGACAGCCGTTTCACTCTAGCATGGGACTACTTATCATTGTTCATTCACGATCCCGGACTCGGGATTCAAATCCAGGATCCTCGGTCACGCTCAAAAAACGTTGACTGGTCCATGATCTCACTTGAAATTCAACAATCTCTACAACCCTATACTAATGAATACTTATTGTTAGCTTTCTTACAACAAAGATGTCATCAAGATTTTCAAACAATAATGTTGTAAATGTCTAAGATAATTAGAAAATTTTTCATATGCCTTGATATCAGTAAAACAATTCAAAGTTATATATTATAAACTGATGATTCTATGACATTCTATTTTTGAAATGAATAATTACTATCTTGTACTGGAAATCGTTTTCGGGCTGCATGAAACATTTAGGTTTCTCATTTTTTGTTTGTTCTATGATGAAGTTGGTGTTCCTGAAAAATTGTTTTTTAATAAGTAGAATTAGATAGTTGCTAGCAATGGAATCCAGGACGCGTGTTTCGTTGTTTTTAGGATTCGACCTGGATTCCACATCTAGCCATCATCCATCTCTGCTTGTAATGCTTATGACTTAAGGTAATATCAAGGTAATTCGTACAGGATGCACTTATACTAATAAGAGACTTGTCAATTACACTCCTAAACATCAGTTAGAAGATCCAAACAACCAATACAAAGTGTTCTTTCTTTAATTTTTTTCTCTCAATTATGATCCTCCATAAGTCAGCCGAGATTGTAATTGATGGTTAATTATTATTTTTTTGAATCTAATGGCTTATTAGACTGGTTTCATTTACTATGTGTATTTTTGTTCGATTTTGAAAACATGTATGTCCGTTGATGAATACTTGGTGAATAAAATAAGATGAAATGAAATATAATTCCAAGCCGAACTCATTTACAAATTGTAACAGTTTATTTTTGTCAGCTTTGATCCATGTCGTTTGAGTTAGAATTAGCAATACTATCAAGTTTTTTTAAAAACTAAAGAAAGTGGATCTCAGTTTAAACTCTCAACTCATTAGTTGAAAATCGATCTATTCAGTCATTAGACTAATTGGTAATAGCCTTTAATTAAGACAGACTGATTATAGGTAAGAAACTATTGAAAGTTAGGTGGCATTGGATAACTGTTTCGTCCTAGGGTCGGACTCTTTATCATTATACACGACCACCATGGTAATTTATTATATTAATTAGATTCCGGCTTCAGTATAACCGATGTAGTTTTTATTTCTCATCAAAACAGATTTTTTTTACTGATAATACGTGAATCGATAACCATTATGATTGTGTAGAGGCTAATTTTCCCTATATGTGACTCCAATAAATAGTATCCCGTTAATTTAGTATTTATTGCAGGCTAAATCTAGTAGAATTATGGATTTATTTAAACGTGTGAACAACAGTTATAGAGATAGTTTATTGTTAAAGATTGTTGACGATTGCCAAGTAGCACCAAACCTATATCCACAGTTTCTTCCCGACTACTTCCAATCACCAATTTGCAATGGAATGTTCAAGTGAATGATTATCATATTGAATTAATTCACAGTCTCACTGTTGATCACTTTCTATCAGTCTTGCTTAAATATCATGATATCAGTGTGAATAACTCTAGTCGTTGTATACTATTTCCTATTCAATAATATAGTAGCTATTAGTGATGAATACTTATCGTGTTTAAAACATCTTCATCTTCTTGCAATTTTGTTCGCCTTTTTGCCAAAAAAATTATTTCATCATTATGTTACTAATAATGTCTCATTGTTCTTTGATATCAATGTATTATTCCTGTGAAAATAAAAATCAAGCGAATCCATCTACTTCAGCATTTGCTTCGAGGTACAACTTGTGATATTTACTGGTACAGGAATTAGTAGATTGAAAAAACTTGGTATAAGCTCAGGATTTAGGCGTTTCCTTAATTAATATAACAGTTGGTGCAATTGGGCACCAAAGAAATATTATTTATGTATGTACTGAGATATTTTCCAGGCTCTGGATCTAAAGGCCTAACCCACAAGACAGTGAAATAACGTTAGGAGATATCGTTTCACGGTAGCCTATGATCAAAATAGGTTCATACATTATTCGTTTCTATAGGATCATTTAGCCCATTTATATCGTTTGTTTGGAATCAGAACTTTCCGATTCCCGTAGATGGACCATTTTTATCTACCGACCCTACTTAAGCGCCGGACGTTCGCTTCTTGTCATTCTATTTTCTTAAATGACAACCTCACCACATGAAAGTAGTGAATAGGACTTCATTTCCAGTGACTATAAATAAATGACAGTACGAAAACATTTTGCATGGGTGGTAGGATTTATCTTACCCTTGGCTGTACCAGGGCATTTGGCGGTATAAATTGTTGAATGAAGCTATGCTAGCAAATGAAGACAATAAAATTGGGGTCCTCGCGATCATCGTAACCAGTGGCTGTGATACTAGTACTAGATTATATGGTTTAGAATTGATCACAATGGCGTAGATGCGTTCACTTATTATTATCCTTTAGATGTCGAGTTTGAAAATTATCTTCCACTTTTTAATATGGCTTTTTTATTGAGTCGTGTTATCTATTTCCTAATGTTTCCCACTACCACTGATACTGTCACTACTTTTTATATTCTGGCATTTATCTTGATAATTTCACATCACTGTTGTTATAGTGTGATAGTTAAATCTATATATTTAATTTTTCATTTGATACAATTCACTGACCAACTGTAAGTGAATATACCTGATTTCGCGTCATACTGTTTATTTGTTGGATAGTTTTACTACTACTCTATTACCACTACCCAGTTGATTGAATTGAAGTAGATATAGTGATTTTTTAAATTAACGTTACTGTAACCAAAAAATTAAGTGTTTAAATCACTCAACAACTATTCTATCACACTTTATGCCTTTCATAGTTCATAATAACTTAAGTGTAAAATTTTGTTATGTACCTTCTGTTAACATTAAACTATACACGCGTATAAATTTTCTGTGCCATGAAATTAGCCAACTGAAAAGTTATCATTAATAACTTTACAACAAAAAACAATATCTCCCAGTTGTTATGGGGTAAGTAGATCTGTGTCTAAATTATATATGCTTATCTGTTTATATGTTTGCTTATTTATCACATTATATCTTTTCATCAAATTAGTATTTTTAATTTGTTCTTCTTTTAAAATTTTTTCTCCTCCTCCTCCTCCTCCTCACAAAATGGTGTACACTATTTTGCTTACACATTTTTCATGATTACTTATATATGTTGTAATATCACAATTACACATTATCAAGGACTATATGGAACATGGTTATTGTAAATGATGTTTCAAACAAATTTGTTTTTCTTATTGGATGTATTTATTGTTTTATATGTGTAATCACATTCAATTTGTTGTGTAATTCGCTTTATATAAAAATATAATGATAAGTCATTGAAGATGATTTATATCATGAACTGATACAACATAGTGAACTGTCAAAACCATGAACTTGATATGTATCATCTGTTCCCAGTTCGAAACGCTTCAGCAATATTTTCTTTCAACCTCATTATTGAACAAACTATTGAACATTTGTATCTTATGATTTATTCAATACGTAATACCTGGTGCATCTGTGTACTTTTAATAGTGTGTATCACACAAAATACAGAAGAAGAAATTAAGAAGGGGTAACAGAGTACATATAGCCGAAATGGATTTTTTCATGTAAAGGGAATTTTTCTCATTTTTCGATACAGTGTAACTCGAAACTGTAATAGCATCGCCATAGCCTTCTGTTTAGAATAATGTCGGATAATATATTAAGCAACTGAGTTGCATGATTGCTAGGATTCTAACCAGGAAGTCGTGTTGGACCTACAGATGCCTCCAATCCTTTATAGTTCTCTTTTATGCCACGATTATCTATTATAAACTGACAGCCTCTGCTTTCTACCACCCAGCTCTAGCGCGGGGAAATAATTTACAATGTAGATAACATTCGTAAAAGCTATCCACGTTACCTAAATCAGTGTACCAGTATAGCAACATCAGTTGAACTTTCGTGACTGCTCTCAAAGTCACGTTGTTGAACCCCGGCCTTTCTAACACGGTTTATTTGTCAGATTCCAACAGTCCTTCGGATACAACGATGATTGGACCCTGAGATTCTTCAATTCGGCTTGGTTTCAAAAGAATAGGGCAATATTACCCTCACCAACACATTGTAAATTCGACCTTTTATAGCTGATTTAACATCACGATTATACTAAAGGCGTCCCAGATTGTCATTAGCCGCTCTGACTTTCACTATAATTAAACTGACCTCATCTGTCACATAATCACCAGCACTTGCACAATTACTCAGCTACGCTAACCTTGCGACCGCTTCTAACAGCCCACTATAAAGTGTGAGTTAAGGTGTAGGCTTCTGAAAGTCTCGTAGAAGTACTTTACTTTTCGACAATGTATAGTAATTTCCATGCCTACAGGTGTCCTAGTATGATGTCTTCATTTCATTGTAGTCCACATCTTCAATTTAATTGAAATGTTTTTGTGCTGCGAAACTTATGCAATCCCATCTCTAAGTTCCTGTGCCATCCACACTGGCTTGATTGATTCCAATAAATAATTTATCTAAGCTTAGTGATTTACACAAAAAAACTATCAAACGTGTTGGTTCATACATTCATATCTCTTTTGATTCTTTGTACATCATTCATCCTCTAATAAAATAGCTAAGATTCATACATCCATACATAAGAACACATAGTCACTGGTTCACATTACATTCTTATTTCGAATTTTCTGTGAAATAATATGTTAATAAGGTCGCTAAGCTAACCCAAATGACATTCAGGACTTATTCAATACTTGAGTACACTTTGATGTCTGCTTTTTTCTTTAGCTTGTGTTTACGTATGATACAGTTATGATTCGTAATTGATCAAACCCCAACCAAGTAGTCTTCAAACTTCATTACCTCTTGCAATATTATCATGTTAACATTTATTCTTCACTGAATAGATAACGATGTCATTTTATCTCGTTACTGTTGATCAAATTCTACCAACACCGACTGATGTAGGTTTGGATCTTTGAAGAAATATCAGTTCTCTGAAGATTCTAAGTTCATCTTCCTAACGATTGTCTACTAGTTCCAGAATACACTACTTCCATTCATAACATGAAGAAAAAGTATTCACTTAGGGTTTAATAACATGAAGTTAGTTAAACCCCAACGAACTCTCTTAATAGTATAATTGTAAATGGCGACTCCAAACTAATGCCTAAAACATTATCATTTACCCATTAATGGCTCAAGTATTGATATTCTATGTATCGAACACTTTTTAACCTATTTTTCTTAGGTCATCCATTTTTTGTTTAGGTTGCTTATCAGTTATATGTAAAATAATTGATGTTATAACCTTATTTGTGTTAGTATACTCACTCACTAACTGTTTGATATGTTGAAGCTTTGTTTATCTGACTGTGTATGTGTGTATGTATAATTTGGTGTTTAGTTGTTGATCTTCATCTTATTTTGTACCATAATTTTATGTTTTCAATGAAAACACATTTCATTTTAGTTTGAGATTATTCATCATGTTCTCAGTGTTCAAGTATTATGTATTATGTTCAGTACTGTTGGCCATTTTCTCGTTCATTTCGTAGGTGAGTACTATGTATTATAGTTCTCATTGAAAGTTTCATTTAAAGAGTCTAGAGTTATTCGTGACTATACGTTACAAACATGTCAGTGTCGCGCAACTCAAACTATAGAATAAAAACAACACAAATAAGTTGAAAGTTAGATTTTGAAATGAAATCTCTGGTGAAAATTTCACTCTGATATGCAATAACAACCCAATTATTAGACGAAAAAACGTCGAAAGTTTTTAGTGGCCCTATATCTGACTCCATTTAAATAGTATTATGATTGTTATTGAAATATACCTATTGTCACTCGTATATTATCATCGACTTTGGTCGCGTCAGTGAATAAAGAATTAAATAAGTCAAATATGATAAAGAATTTTTGAATACTTATATTTCGTAAACTCATTAACCTAGAAAGATAATCAGAGGGGCGAACCGAAGAGAAGAAGGCGAAACAAAATGACGTGCGGTGGGGAGGGCGTGTGAACCTAATCTCTTTAACCAAGTGTGAATCGTTATTTATAGTCAGATCAAATTAAGGCAAAGAGAGACGAATAATTGACATGGTCAAAATTGACTCAAGAAGAATGAATAAATTGATCTGTATGGGCTTGTCATAGGGTTAACCACTGCAAGTGCTCAATATAAATCACAATACTTGAACATTGAAAGTTTGACTGATAATCTCAGCCTTCAAGTTTATTTGTTATTTTTCAATCATTTGCTTACAAATTACATATTGACTTCATGATTTTCATTTTTGTTATTCAATTTACGGATTTATTGTATACGATTATTGCGTTGTTTTCATCTTCAATGAAATTCTACGTACATATTTTTTACTTTCATAACGAATTCATTTCAATGAAAATCAAAGAAATAAATACTTTTATTTATTATTGTTATTATTAATGTCATCCTTTCTAATACAGAAATTGTGGTGTTATTTTTTGAGACAAAGGTGATTGGGTAAACTAATAGGGAACACATTTCAGTTTGTTTTTTACTACTTAAATTAATGGTTTTCATTCTTTAAAAATTCACAAATATTATTTTCACTGAATAAGACATGGAAGTAAAAGCTTTTTGTATAAATTTTTTAGATGATTTCCACTAATGGAACACTGAAATATAATCGAGTGATTTGTATAGTTAATTCGTTTTAGGTTGGGAATTCATCAGGATTGGGAAACTATGACTTTTGTATACAGGAGTAGAATACAAGGCCTCAGAATTTAGCAAGGAACACAGTGTGACTCGGTCAGTAATTTAAGATCCGACAAATAATATTCTAAAATTTTGATACATTTGTCCATCTATAACGACTGTCTCTCATGGTTGAAGTCATTATCTTGACTTATTAATGTAAGCTCTCTAAGTTCATTACAAATTTACATTAGGTTGTTATCACCATATTTCGCTGAACTATCCGTGATGATATTTACAATTCTTTTCCAGCTCCAATGTGAATATCAACACTGAGCTGCAAGCTTATTCATCCGACCAGTCCTAATCAGGACGGAATGCTTGTATTGGTCTCCAGAGCTAGCCATAATCTAATTATTCTAAGATTTCTCTAGGTCATTCTCATGATAAACTACCATATTTTAGTATGATATGTTAAGTGTTGGTCTTACAATTCATCCTACTTTGTTATTCTTTTTTACTTCTGTTGTCTTTGGGCTCGGCTAGTTATCACGTGATATATTCGCCAATTGAAATATGACTTATTCAATCTTATTACTGTGCTAAATCAATGACGTTCGACCGGTTTGAGCAGCCTAACGTCCTTATTGATCATTTGTCCGTCTAGCCCGTCTGGTTGAATCCAGAACGCCAATAACAGCCTCCACTATGCTAATCATTTATTTCAATCATACTTGGTTTACATACCAGTCAAACAGACCACATCACACTATAAAATAGGAAATGACATTTCTACAAAACCAAGCCAAAAAGTGCCTGTGAACATGAGAGACTGTAATCAATAAACCGAACAGAACTTAAGAACAGCTAATCGCATAATAATGATCTATAGGTCAAAATAAAGCTTATAATAAGAGGAATATAGATATACACAATCTAGCTACTGTAAAGTTATACATTATATATATATATATATATATATATATATATATATATATATATATATAATATTAGTCCATTTATAGGTCTCAGAAGTTACCCGTAATTTAATCTTCACTAGGATATAACAACTTCAACAAGTCATTTTTCACTACTCAATCAGTTAAGTATTTATTCGCTGAAAAAAACTCATTTTAGTCTAGTTATCTGTCACATTACTTACAGCCTGCTGGTAATACTCTGGCGCCGACCGAATTCAATAATCGAATCTTACTTCAACGTTATTGGGCTTCATATAAAATGTTATTTAAATGCCAACCTATCAGTTATATTCGGTAAGTGTTTGGATGATTTTTTGAAATGCAAAACAGGTCTTTACATTTTCAGGATATAATATTGCTTGATATCATGAGAATGTTTCTCCTAATGTTTAAATAGTCCGTCAGTCATTTTTATTGTGTTTTGCATTTGACAACAGTTTTCTTATGGATCCTATAAATGCTTAATGACTGTTTTACTAGAATGAATGTCTTTTTGTCGTACACTTCAGTGTGCCATTGGCTGCAAAATTCATTTGGGCAAGTAAGTAAGGCTTTTTTACCGAATATTAAACAGGCAACTCTAAATAATTCTATACCAGATTATGATCATCAATATCTAGAAGTATTTTAGGGTGCAGCTTAAGTAACCGAATTCTCGCTATAGCTGTGGAAACTGAACATTAATTATTGGAGAAAGCCGGTTTTGATGGAGTTTTGTTCTCTGAGCTGGATAGTTGGGTCGTGAAACTTTCATTGTTCCACCTGGGTTACATATCTTCTCCACTGTCTCGAAAACAGGTTTATACGACATAAAGAAGGTGAAAACTAATAGCATATGAAGATGTTATTCATCGTCCAGTAGCCTGACAATAATTTATTGATCAAGTCTATAGATTTTAATGTCATTTAATAATCAGTTAACTAGTGTCATACATAACCGGGACAGTTTGGATTGAAAGTAAATTTCACACTGGAATTAGGCGGTTGAGGGTTACATTGACCAAATGTCACCCTAAATTAATAGAAGCGAACAATAAATGTCATACTAAATAAATATATAGTATGAGACTCCTCAGAAGTGCACATTCACGATCCCTCACTCGAGGCTCGAACTCAGAACCTTCGATCTCGCAAGTGGACGCTTAATCTTAATCCATTCATCCATTGTCTGAGTCAGACAAGTCAGTGGTCTAGAGGTTAAGAGTTCGCTCACGCGATCGAAAATCCTGGGTTCGAAATCCGCGTGCGGGATCGTGAATAAGCACTACAGAGGAGTCCCATACTAGGATGAAATGGTCATCCAGTGCTCCCATGTTTTCATTAGTGATCGAGCTTAGACCGACTCGTAAATTCAAATGTGGACATACTCCAATCTTTACGAATCCCCGTTGTGAGAATATATAATACCAAATTAATACAAAAGAATGTTTTGTTAAATATAACACCTAATTAAAATATGATCATGCATTTTATCTCCTCTTCGCATATTTAGCAAAGATTCATGCGCATAAATGACGATATGTATATGATTATAGCTAAACAATAGACCTATGTACGTAAAATATTACAAAGTTTTCTGAATGAAATCCTAATAAAAATAAAAAAAGCAATATCCTCACTGGAAATTATTTTAGATACATTGGTAAGGTCAACAGTATCTATGTATCCATGGGTTAATATTGTACATCAGGTGAATTGTGAGTTATTCAAGCTTCTATTTATATAATGATTGTTTGAACTCCTTGATTGTGTAAAGAACTGGATCTTAAGTTGCTTACTCTGTACTTTTTTGTGATACATTTTCATTCATAAACTAAGGATTTATTCGGACATGAATATTCAAATACTCGATATAGTCGTCCTACTGTGTTTATTATTTGAAAGGTAATCGATTACTCAGCGAGCCGTTTAAGTAAATCAGGACAAGTCTATCCGTCAGAAAAGAATTCAGAAAGAATTGACACTTCATAATATAATGTCATCAGGATAATAGACTTATTATAACTTAAATAGCGAACATACTTTAGCTTAACCACTATTGAGAAGCTGGAAGCACTGAACAGCCGTTCTATCCCAGTATGAGATTCCTCATCAGTGCTCATCCATAAACCTGTACCCAGAAATCGAACCGAAGACCCTCAACCTCGCGAGTGAAAGCTTGTTCTATAAAACATTGAGCCAGCATGCAATAGAATACATGTCTAGCTTCAATCGATTACAAGTTTTTGATGATAGTGAAGATAAGATTATTTAATGATTCAGACTGAAAATTCTACAGTATTCACAAACCTCCGTATACTGATAATATTGTACTCACTGGTGACAAGATGAGGATCCTGGAATTCTAGTGAGAAGCCATGAACAATGGAATTCAATCACATTGGGCAAGTTGTCCACTCCAAGTAATGGATAAAGGTTGGATAGCGTCGTAAATTGACTAGTTATACAAGTACACTACTGGATCCTCGCTCAGTGTTAACGCATGAGATTAAAGGTCTTGGGTTCGATTCCTGGGTACAGGTTTATGGATGGGCACTGATGAGGAATCTCATACTGAGACAAAACTGCCGATGAGTGCTTCCATGTTCTAATTGGTGGTTTAGCTAAGATCTGTTCGTGACTTAAACCATTACAATTGTACAATCACCACAAATACCGTTGTCCTAAAAGTAGATTTATATTTCACACAGTAATTTAAACGTTTTTTTCCATCTTATAATTTAAATTAGATATTATTTCGGTGAAGCTGTGGCTTTTTATTTTGCTTGGCTTGGTTTCTACACAGCTTGGCTTTTACCAATTGCAATATTTGGAATTGTTGTTTTTTTTTTCGGTTTATTGGATTTAAAATCCGACTCGATTATGTAAGTTCTATAAATTGTATATTGTTGTTTTTAATACATTTTCACAAAAAGATAATATTTTAACTGCCATAGTTTGGATTTATATATAAATATATATATCCATGTACTATCAAAATGTTTATTTATTGTTTGTTGATATGGTGTTCCTTGTGAATTTGTCGGAAAAACCCTTGTTTTTATTTTGTAAATTTTATTCACCGACAAAAATATCTAACCAGATTATCTTCAATAAACTTGGTTTCAACACACAATGTCCAGCCGAATCATGATACCTTTTGGTATCATTTTCACTTTTGATAGGTTTATCCTTTTTCCGGTTTACTTATCATGGTTGTTCAAATTTGAATGAAATGGAGTATTGTTTACTGTTTTTCTACCTAATATAATCTATGTTTCAGTGAACTAGTGTCTCAACACTACTATTTGAAAATGTAATCAATATAAATGATGACTTATGTACCGGATATATATTCATGAGTTCGACTTTTTTGAAGTCGTTTGTGTTGACTAAGAACTAATTCATTAAGCTTCCGAAAGTGAAGTAGACAGAGGCGGATCCAAACCTGTAAATTACTAGTTCATTTAATTCATTTATCACTTCCCTCTACTACTTAAATGATTATTGACTACTCTCTGATAAGTCTTTTTTGGTCAATTACGAATTGTAAGTCAATGATGAGAGAATCGAAAAACATAAGTTTTGAATTTGTCTTTAAGAACAATCTTCACTATGACTCTTGATACCTAGTGAGATGAAACAAAAGCGTATTGGTTAAGATGTTCGGCTTTCAGTCATCAGGTATCAGATTCGAGTCCAGCTCCATCTATTTCTGTTTGCACATCCGCATAGTATCATGAACTGTTGTACATAGAATTTGGTTCGAAGTCAAATACATTAACACCAGAAAATAACTCGTTTATTGAACAAATCACCCCTCGAATGCCCTGGTACAGCCGAGAGTGAAGAAAGTTAGCTATCCCTCTCGAAATACTCTCACAGAACCACGTATATACAACCACTGCAAGGGAAGTCCTATTCACTGTCTCCTCGTTTTCAGGGTGTTTTTTCTTACAAAATTAAGAGGACGGAAAACGAATATTTGGCTCCTTGACCGGTTTGGTGGATATGGAGGATTCACCGAGGGGAGTTAGAAAACCCTCATTCCAAACCAATTGTGCACATTTGTCCCATGATCCTAAGAAAACAAACAGCGTAGGAACCAATGGTTGTTCACTGGTAGCCATCATGGGACTACATCTCATTACATTGCTCCACTGCCTTGTAGATTAGGTGTCTATGTTAAAGGGTGGGTTAGTGGCTTCCTAAGAAAATCACGTGCTTCGGTTTGAGCTCCCGGTCAGTTTACTAACCCCCACAGTAATCAAATGGTCTGTGAGGCGCTTATATATTTGCTGCCTCCTTGTACCAATGTTTACGAGTTTAAATAAATAAAATTAATTATCGAACAAATCATAGTATAAAGCTGTCAAATATTCATTTTCTCTTTATCGGAAACTTCTTTTCACTAATTAAAAATCACTAACTTGTTTGGAAGTAATTTTTTCCAAAGAATTACAATATGAAAAGTAATCAATGAAATAGTGCATATGTTATCTGCAGATTAATCAATAACTTGGTTTTAGATGTTTTCACGTAAATAGACGTCTGTGCATGTTTATATATATATATATATATATATATATATATATATATATATATATATATATTGAAGTACTGTGTATCGTAATTGCAGAAAAAATTAATTTGTTGGACCATTATTAGCTATCAGTGATTGTACTTTTTATTCAACTCATAATAGTCAGAGATTATTATTATTATTAATGGCTTTATCCAGTACTATATTTTTGGTATAATAATGAACTCTCAGCAAAAAGTATTTCGATAAGTTTCCTTTCCTCATATCTTTATCGATCCTGAGGATAAATATTTATTGATCGCCAGTTAGATGCTAGTTGTTCAGGAATCGACATCTGGATAATATTGATTGTTTTCAATGTATATTGCAAGCCACCACGATGTGTTTGATTTTGCGTTTTTCGAACGTTGTAGAGTAAAAGGTTGTAAACGTTTCATAAACTCACCTGAATAAGTTACACTGTTAATAGATGTAATGATGTGTTAAAAGAAACGAAGAAACAGATAAGTTGTTCAAATATCTAGATGACAAGAACAGGTGACGTATATATTCCAGCAGGTCGCAGTGGTGCGATTTTATGTAAATTTCAAATTAGATAACCTATAATATTCAAATGTATAAACGTTTGAATAAATGAAAGCTTTCATTACTTAGGATTCTATTTTCAGGATGACACAACATTTGTATTCCTACCTTATGAGAACATTTGAAGAAAGATAGTTACTTAATTTAAATGAAGAACTGATTTAAGTTGTGTAATTATTGTGAAAGTGAGATCATTAGATGACCATTTCGTCGTAGTGCGGAGTTTTTTAGCAGTGCATATCCACGACCCTGCAAATGGGAATCGAACGCAGAGCCTTTGGTCTTTCCCGGTAATCCTTAACCTTCAGACCACTGAGCCAAGATTCAATGATAACCGTTCAGTCCTTCTACGTTTTTATTGATTGTCCAACTTTGATTGGTTCACTTTTTTACTGAAATCCAATAATCCTCAGAACCCTACACTAACAGACGTTATAGTGTTCACAGTGAGTCTATTGACAGTTTTTGTTTGTTGTCGAGATTTGTAATTTCATGTAGTTTCACTTACCCAGCTATTAAATTATTACCAAGATGTGTTTATGGCTTTGTTTTAAACTTCAAGTTACTTGAAACTCCGAATGCTCATTGTTCAACGTTCTAACAAAAAAAGTAGCTCCTCTAATTCTTTTTAACAATCAGTGGTATTCTGTGAAGTAGGGTTGTTTATGTGGTTTTAATAAATGTTCACTGATAGGATTGCTTGAATCTAGTTTTATAGTTTCACAGAGAAAGTCAATGTTTCAATTTTGAATTACATCACACTTAGTCTTTAATATTTAAAGTTATATTGGTTTCTAGAAGTATTTTAAATTTTTCATTACACTTATCATATAAATTCTAATTCATTCGTATCTGTTTTAATTCTGAACGTTCGGGTAGCAGTAGTCCTAGCTTCCACACAAGAATAAAAATCTGTATGATGTCCGATACATTAATCCGTTTTTAATTATCAAACTCTAATGTTGAGTTTAAGAATCACTCTGTAACGAGTTGTAGCCACGTGTTTGTTGGTAATTTCCATATTGCTTAAAAAGAATATCTGCTGATTTATTTTACGTACAACAATAGTGTTATGCTAAATAACTAAAAATGTAATCTTAATGAAAGTCTGCCAGATTATAAATAAATGAAACACTATTTTAATCAAATAATCAGGTCTGTTGAGAAATTATCACTGAACAAATGAAATATAGTTACTAGGTTACATCTTAATCATAGAAATTTCTCTTTTGGTAAATGTCTGTATACCATAGACTGTATAATTCATATTCATGTATATCTTTTGAGCGGTTAATATTTTCTGCTATTACTACCACTACTCCTGTTACTACTTATACTGTGAGGTTTTTCTTGATACTTTTTATCTTGCTAAGCTAATTTGGTGTAAGAGCTCGAACTAATGTATACATGCGCCAGGTTCTACGTTGTGAATTACTAACTAGCTGGTTTCAGTGATTGAATATTCGACGCCTGATTAATCTTATCGGAAATGTTTTAATATTAATGTCGTTAATGAATCTTTTCATTCGTGTCGTTTCTTTCACAATCGTGATCAAAATTGTTTCATGCACTTGTAAACATCAAAATATTTTATACATATTACTTTTTTTAAAAAAAAAACATTTTTTTAATAAAAATGTCAACATAGCAACACAAGAGTTAAACCATTTATTTATTGGCAATCTATGTGTCCTGATAAGTTTAATATATGGCTATCAACTAGAATGATTAATTGAACCCCAACTATAGCTTACTACTTATATATGGTCATTTGTTTTGTTTTCAAATACAAATTTTCATAAATGTACGTACATTTCTCTATTTATTACTATGAATTGAATATATTTCACATTAGACGACTCAATTTCACGCACTAGACATTAATATATAACATATTAAACATGTCAGAATGTGTTTTGTGGAGATTTTTAGAAATTTTCACATATTGAAATCATGAGTCAGTTGAAGCTAGACCACCATTGAAAACCTGGAAGCACTGAACGGCCGTTTCGTCCTAGTATGGGACTCCTCAGCAGTGCGCATCCACGACCCCGCACCACCCGGGGCTCGAACCCAGGACCTACTGGCTTCGCGAGCGAGCACTTAACCACTAGACCACTGAGCCGGCATCCAACGGTGTTAATGTCTAACTTCAACCAATGCACGAAGTTGCGCTACCGTACACCATTGTGTTCAGTGAGTCCCATACTAGGACGAAACGGCCGTTCAGTGCTTCCAGGTTTTCAATGGTGGTCTAGCTTCAGCTGACTCATGATTTCAATCTGTGAATATTAAACATGGTTGAATAATCGTTTAATATGTTGTTATTTTGTAAATTTATCTATATTCAATAATTCTGATTTTTGACTATTTACCTAAAGAAATTTTAATGAAATGTTATACTTTTACAATAAGTTAGTTGTCCTTTTCAGCTGGGTTCTTTTTTACATAGTGTACTATAATTCCCGGATTAAAATAGATTTGACAAAGGTTTGAATCTTTTCAATATTTGAAATGTCTATCTTTCTAAACACTAAAACCTAAACAAATACACCTCGAATTATAAAGCATTTGTTATAGCTATTAAATGAAGCCTAACTCAATAATTGATGTCGATAATATGAATTTACGAATGTCTTTTTATATTGAAGAACTCATCAAACTCTATTTACCTATTTTAACGTATACAGTTTTCAGTAAAACAAAAATGTTTTCTTGATCGTTAAATATTTGTTTTTTAAATCATGGAAATCAAGCTTTCATCTCATATGGATACTATGACTCACCATGGTGATTTTAAGTTAAAGAATCAGTGATTTACTGTTGAAATTGTTCAAATTTTATTCAATACATTACAATTTTTAAACTTCACTCCATGTTACGTTGGTTCTCACCACTATAGCCATCCCATAGTTGGTATACTTCAAAGCTGAGTAAATTAAACTGTATCTAGTTAATGAGTTATATAAATTGACTGAAAGAAGACTTCTATTATCAGATTTCAAGCACCTCTCCCCTATACTCCATTCACGTATGTTCATTAAGCACATCCGAATTATTGCCTTTAATTAATTCATATATAATATTTTCACTAATTCATTTTATTAGTTAAAACACTTCTCTTTTTTATTGTATGCTTCTTACAACTCAGCTTTTTTTTGTTAATATCGATATTGTTTTCAAGCCATGAAGTATGTGATCTCGGTCACAACATATATATGTGTCCATTATGTAAATCATCTAAATGCAAATTTTGGACTCTGGACAGATCTTGTTTACGTACTAAGTTAATGCGATTAGTGGATCATGAGGGGACTGTTTTATTTGCTGTGGTTATGTCTTTGTGGGGTATGTCGGTTCTCTTTATAACGTTTTCAAGAATTTTATACTACGTGTAATAAAACATAACTCATTTTTGTTTTATTTCCTATATGAATAAAAATCTGGAATATTTGTCGTCTAGATGATTAATACATTTCTGAATTTCTTGATCGATCAGCACTAAAGCACCTGACAAACATGACATCGCTCACTACTCGGTGGCCACTTAACTGTAAATATCTCAGTTTTTTCAGGAGGTCATTTACAGCTCGAATAGCTCAGTGGTAAGGTTTCATACTATGAAACTGAGTAGTGACCGGGGTTCTGATTGAACAAGGACACTAATTCTCTTAATAATTTTTGGAACGCTTTACTGACTAATACCAACTAGCTATTAAATCAAAATCAAACAAAGTTATTTATCAACTACCTTCAAGTATGTAGCACAATTCTGAGCCTTCCAATTTCTTAGAATTGTTATACCCTCTGGAAAACTATTTCTAAAACTGGAGACGGATAAAGATGTTTGGCGAAGAAGCTATTTTGCTTACTGTGTATACTTTACAAACATATAGAGTTTTTTCTAAAAGAGTAGAACCGATGTTGTAAATGAATATATAGAGGTGTAACTAAAGGGTTTCTGTATCATTAGGATCATTTCTCATCATGGTTAACTGGTATTCATTTGCTTCTGTATCAGACCTATCGATCACCCTATCTGGATTTTTCTACTCATCCGTTGAATACATGGATTCGTACATTTTCTGTACATTCTTTTATTTATTTATTTAAACTCGTAAACATTGGTACAAGGAGGCAGCAAATATATAAGCGCCTCACAGACCATTTGATTACTGTGGGGGTTAGTAAACTGACCGGGAGCTCAAACCGAAGCACGTGATTTTCTTAGGAAGCCACTAACCCACCCTTTAACATAGACACCTAATCTACAAGGCAGTGGAGCAATGTAATGAGATGTAGTCCCATGATGGCTACCAGTGAACAACCATTGGTTCCTACGCTGTTTGTTTTCTTAGGATCATGGGACAAATGTGCACAATTGGTTTGGAATGAGGGTTTTCTAACTCCCCTCGGTGAATCCTCCATATCCACCAAACCGGTCAAGGAGCCAAATATTCGTTTTCCGTCCTCTTAATTTTGTAAGAAAAAACACCCTGAAAACGAGGAGACAGTGAATAGGACTTCCCTTGCAGTGGTTGTATATACGTGGTTCTGTGAGAGTATTTCGAGAGGGATAGCTAACTTTCTTCACTCTCGGCTGTACCAGGGCATTTGAGGGCATGAAAGTGGAACAAAAAATGCCATTATATTCAATGGTAGTCAGTGGCTAGTCATTTATGTAAGTTTTTCCCTATATCTCGTTCATGGAATAGTGAATTTATATGTCTTTCTCTTTCTATATCTGTAGCTTCGACACGTCAATAGCTTAGTCAATCTATCTCAACAAATACTCAAATTTATTTAAGTAGGAATATTTAGTTTTACTGAATTATTTATATTTTTATTACTACTAAATAAATGGTAGAATGAATCATATTTTCTTATCATTCTGTCATTTCTACATTTTTATGAAATAGCTGTAATATTTTTCGAAATGTGGAAACGTAGGCAAGTCTCATTTGCTTATCGTTGGAATGTATACTCACTGGAACCAATGGATCAACCGCCGAGACCAGAATTTATGGCATTACTTAGTAAAATGTGTCCTCGTAAAATGAATCCTTTAAGTGGAGTAAGTATAAATTTATTATTATAATTATTTTTTCTAATGCTGTTTAATTCTCTCCACTCTGAGTTTACTCTGTTTTATTTTGGACTTTTAAACAATTATCAGTTTTTATTCAATGTACTATAACATATTTCTGTTAATAATTGTGATTTCAAGTATGAAAGATGCATTACATACACTTTGAGTAGAGAGAAAATGACACATTACTTTCTCATTTATTAATGCCTGTTACCTTTTTGTAGAACATAAGCTGCTAACCAGGATTCTTCAACCAACCTGGGCTTTCCTTTCTAGTTGTTTCTAAGTATACTCCAATTAGAGAAAAAATGATATGCACAGATAGTGAATTGTATTTATTGATTATTTTGTAGTGGTTAATTTGATATTATTCATGTTTTTTATTAATGTGCATAAAGTTAAAACTTAACTACAACCAATAAAATCTCTGGTCCTTAAATTTTTTCCTGTGTTATTAATTACCTGCAAATTATTACTAAGTGTTTAGGAATTGTGTGAAACCCTTCAAAAGAGTATGATTTTCGGGGGGGGGAAACATTTTCATAACAAATTACTTAAGTATGTAGTTGAACATATATACTATTGGGTGCTGATCCAGTGGTTTTAATAATTAGATATTTATCTAAAGATCTGAATTTCTTAGGTACACTCCGCCTATTGGGTTCATTAGTATGTACTCCTGAGAGACCTCTTGCTAAGATGAAATAGATGTTTAGTAAGTGCTTCCTTGTTTTCAATAACATTTTATTTATGATCAATTTGCGGGGAATACTATGTAAATTTTCTCTTCTATTTTTCTAATAGTATGTAGAACCATTTATTCCATTTTGGCGACGTAAAGTACCAATTATCTTTCTCAGTTTCTCTACTGTTCTGTTAACTGTAAGTTCTCTTTTTATGTTATCTTGGTTGTTTTTTTTTCAATTACTTTCAAAATCTTGAAATGATGAAAATACCTAACAATGGATTCAGCATAACTGTTAGATAACAGTTTTACTCTAAGTAATGTTTTGAATATAGCCGTATAGTGTGTGTGTTTAGTCCTGAAACTGTAAGTTCTAGTTATGATTTGTTACAGTACATTTAAGATACATTATATATTTGTTGTTGAACTGTCAGCAATATTATAATGCAAGTTTGCATTTCACTTAAAAAGTCAAACATATTGAGTACTAGCCCATAGTAGCTAGTAAATATTAACCGACTTAATAGAACAAGCATCTGCAAGAAATTTTAGAGGCTACAGCATTCTGGAAACAGTTTTGAAGGAAATTCGTGATGAATCAGGTTTCTTCTCGATAAAAGAACCGTGGTTATGTGGATATTACCATGTTTGGAATTACATAAACTACCTAAATCGCACTATTTCATTCAACAATTAGTGTCTATATACATGATACTGACTTTCTATCATTTAAATGTGAAACTCTTCTTCAAGATTGACAATATCCTGTTCTCTTCGCTCATCTTTTTTATTACCTATTGAAAGTAGTGAAAAATATTCGTGTTTATAGATAAGCGCTTCTAGTATTGTGGTTAACGAATTCAATATTTTATGTAATAATTAAAATGGCCAAAACTGTTTACGATGAAGCTTAAATGGGCGATACGTTTGTTGCAATATATGAGTTTGGGATTTTATGTTCCAATGCTAATCTCTGTAATTAGTTGTCATTATGTTTTTTAATACATATGCTGTTTGCCACTTCCGAAGTCTTATATGCCGTACTAATAGAAAGCAAACAATCGATTATATTGTGTTAATCCAATGTTTTCAACCAGATTTCATTGAAATCATGAACCAATCAATGTTAAAATACCATTGAAACCTGGGAGCACTGGACGGCCGTTTCGTTTCAGCATGTGGCTCCTCAGCAGGGCGCATCCGCGACCCCACACACGGGTTTCGAATCCATGACCCCTTGACCACTGAGCCTAACGGTGTCAAGGTCTAACTTCAATCAATCTATGGTGTTGCACGACCATCTTCCATTGTTTTCGGTGGGTAACTGCTTTGCACGCGATCTGAATAGACTTTTATTGTTTTCTTTATCCTAGTTGACCAGCGACATGATTTATTTTACCGTCATTAGTTGATGATAATTGACTTGTTAATGATTCAGTTTAGTATTTTCTACTATTAAAATAGATTTTAAATTATCATTTTTAGTAAAGAACCGTATAAGAATACATTCTATTCGTTTAAATTAAAATTAAGTTAGTTTTTAGATTTCAATCATGAAGTTGATAGATTTTTTGAACCAGTAGCACTAGATCTCAACTGCATCTTATAAAGAATCATAAATTTTTAGCAACACTAACCATATAATTTATTCATTGATAATTATATAATTTTTTGACTGAGAGCATGAAACGATTGATGTTTGACCACCATTGAATACTTGGAAACACTGGACTGTCGTTTCGTCCTATTGTGAGACTCCTCACCAGAGCACGTCCGCGATCCCACCGCGAAACTCGAACCCAGGGTCTTCGGTTTCGCGCACGATCGCTTAACCTCTAAACCACTGAGCCGGCATCCAGAGGTCTTAATGTCTAACTTCAACCAACCCACGAAATTACGCGACCGTCTTCCATTGTACTGAGGTAGATACCTATCTCTATCCGACACTGGTCACGGCTTCTCACTAGAACTCCGAGAATTCCCTCACGAAGCTAGTCATTATTCAGCACATAGTAATTATCAGTATGGGGTTTTGGAGAGTATTAAGATTTTATTGAAATCATGAACCGATAGATGTTAGACCACCACTGAAAACCTGGAACCACTGGATGGCCGTTTCGTCCTATTGTGGGTTACACACTGCTGAGTAATCGCACAACATCAACCGGTTCATGATTTCAATCAAAAGCTTAAATGATCTCCACAACCCCATACTGATAATTATGTTGTTATTCATGCATGAAATATTCATACATGAGTTTCATTGAAATAAAATAAAATTTTGTACACTTCTAACTAACTATTTTCATATTCATATTCAATTTACCAATAAAAGTATTTTGGTCAAGTTTTCTCTTGTTTTTTTCTGCTTTTAATAATAATAAAAATATCTTGACCAATACTGTAAGGTTTCTCATCATCTCGTATTTCATTACAAAACTTGCACTAAATTGATTAAACTTTTTTTCTCTTGTCAATGTTCTTCTTATTTTTCTTATGTCAAAATGTATTTACACATTGATTTTTTACTTCTTGTTCTTTTTAATTATTACGAAGGAACATTTAAGACTGATAATATATATATCTAACATTCTAATGAGTAGAAAATTGTATTTTTGACGTTTCCGTGATCCTAACGGAAATCGGTAATTGATGAACTCTGAAGAAATGGTCTACATTAAGTTACGAAACGTCAGAAATCCATTTTTCTACTCATTTAGGTATGACATAAAATATATCGATTTATTATTAACTTTTTACTCAATGCTCAATTTGTTTGAAACTATTGTATTCAACCTTGGCATATGCACTAAATTCTACGTTATTTATGACTGACGGATTGAGATAAAGTTATTTTAACTAATGATTCAGATATATATTACTTGTTTTTCTTTCAAAAAAAATTTTTTTTGTGGTCTTTTTGAAATGGTAACAAATTGATAATTTTGTTCAGTTAAAGATTATAAATTTATGCTATTATCTCACTTTTTATTGTTTATGTATATGCATACTTTCTGTTTCACAGGTGATGCTCACATTAGCTTTTCTTGTTGGTGTGGTTTTATACAAATTAGTGATCAAAGCAATTTTGTATCGTCATCATAATCCTATGGTACAAAGTACCTCTGGTATGATTGCTACTATGACTGGATCTTTAGTTAATTTAGTGGCAATATTCTTTTTAAAACTAGTACGTTTAATTACATCACTGATTGTATTCATTTATTATAAAATTTGTACATGTTGGGAAAGTATGATATGAGAGTCTGTGGATAATCAGCATCTTGCGTAGACAATTGTTTATAAATATTTGTACTTTATTGATGATGGTTGTAGTAGTTCTCGAAGTTTCAGCTCCGTACAAAAGAACTGTTTTGACGTTCGTATTGAAGATTTTGACTTTGACAGTTATTTTGAGTCTCATGTGTTCTTCAACTATAGAAATACTGTCCTTGCTTTGAAAATCCTTACCTGTACATCTGCATCAGACCCTCCTATGTTCGTGAAAGTGTCCACCTCTTTGAGAACTCCATCAAGTGTGACTTCGTTGGTGTTCGTTATGTTGTATTTGAGGATCTCGCTCCTTCCTCTGTGTGTGCTGAGGCCAACTGTTGCAAATCCCACTGCTATACTGGGTTTCTTCACCTGCATTCGTTGCTATGTATGGGATAGAAGAGCTAGGTCATCTTCGAAGTCCAAATCGTCTTGTTGCATCTAAGTTAAAAGAACAAGCATATATATGTATATACTCATGATAGAAACATATTGAAATTCGTTTTGGCGATTGAAATTACGTACTGTAATCTTTTTATTTGTTAGTGGATTTGGTATGCTACTGGGAGTGGTACATTAAAATTAAGTTGAACCACAACACACAACATTGATAAATACACAAAAAGTGATAATTCAATAATTCGTGGAATATTTTAATTTATTGTCGAAAACGTTTCTTTTCAGTAACGTTCTTATAAGGTTTATAGTGGTAAATTTTTGATTTTAGATAAATTTCGACTCATCAGCTTTTTACTAAGAGTGAGTGGATAAATTGGAGCTCAATATTTCGAACCGTAGGGTTGATGTTAGCAGTAGTTAGTTTTCTGCTCCAAATTTTGATCCCTACTGTAACGCGGTCTGTATCGCATTACTGAACACTTTACTGTGCTGTAAGACGAATTGACAATAATCATTCATTTATTTTTCTATTGTAGATTTAAGTTATCTAAAATTGTCTACAGAGAGTAATTTTTGAAATTAGCTGGTTGTTGGTAATCAGTAGGAAATTCTACTGGACTTGCTAGTTGACAACTGTGAGTTAGGTGTAGCTGCAATCTTGAGAAAGCTGATATGCCTTAGTAAGAGTAAAATTGCAGGTATGCCTTGTTGATGAGTACCTAATATCATAAAACCTTGGTCGAGTGTGTTGATTACTTCCAGTTACCATATTTCTTTTGAACAGACATAAAAACACTCCAGCTACTGTTAGTTTTTAGGCATCTACAAATATTAACACAAATTTTTTTGAAATTTGTTTCCCAGCTTTGATTAGTGTTAATATGTTTTACCAAACAATATCTAATTTTATTTTACGTTGAGATCATGAGTTAATCAATGCTAGACAACCTTTGGAAACCTGGCAGCACTGGATGACCGTTTCGTCTCAGCATGGTCCTGCTTAGCGCACATCCGCGATCCCGTGCGCGGTTACTGAACCCAACACCTTCGATCTCATGTGCGAACGCTTAACCTCTACATCACTGAGCCAGAGTCTATCTTCAATCATTTCCCATTGTCTGCGGTGGTTAACTACCTCACAACCGATACGGTTGAACTCCGCTAGTCATGGCTTCTCACTAAAACTCCGTAAATTACCTATACTGATAGTTTTTATTGATTTTAATAATTCATTCTATTTTTAATTTTTCAGATTTATGATCGTATGGCCATTAAATTGACTGATGTTGAACATCATCGTACACAAGTGGAATATGATAATAGTTTAACGCTAAAATTATACCTATTACAATTTGTCAATTATTATTCGTCAATATTTTATATTGCATTTATACAAGGTACAACTTCAGCTGTTCCTGGTAGTGATCATATATTAATTCAGTCAACTGGTGTAAGCATTACATATTATTTTCTATTTATTCGATTATATGTATATTTTTGTAAATCAAATTATTTATTATAGGTGGACTATGCTGTCTTTGACATCTCAGTTATCCTTGCATTTCCATTATTCTTTTGTGCATATTTTTTATCCTGTTTTCTTTTCACGAATTATATATCCAATCTTTAATCTTTCTCATTGTCACTGCAATTTGGGCTAATACATATGATATGTCTTGTTTTGATCGCTACGTTTCATGTCTGGTCGTCGCTGATTGTTGTGTCGGAAACGCTCATCACTTATACTCGGAACAAGGGACCTCCGCAATACCTACGACGCGAAAGTAAAAATACAAAGACTGATATAAGTGAAGGTTTATTAACCCCAAAACACAACGACGACGACCCTGGTTGAAAACACACTCATTTATATATTAATTGTACACCCATTTTGATTAATAATTAGGATGAAATCATATATATAACAAGTCACATAATGAGCATAGTTCATGTCAATTGAATACAAGAATATCGTATATTCTACAGAATAAAATATCATACGAGAAAACAAAACAGATACTACACTGAATAATCATCACATTGAACAAAGCGGAAGTAATTTTGAACAAAACTCGTAATGAGTAAATCAATCGAATTTTGGCTGTTCTTTCTATCATATCAACATACTTATGCCAGACTCAACGTTGGTAATAACTGATTGACTAGAAGTCAGTAATCGGAGAGATTTATATTAAACACCTCTGAAGTTGATGCCATATATTTAGATATATGACAACACTGGTATGCAGATATATTCAACTGACGAGTGCCGAATGGGATGAAACGCTCATTCTGGATTTCGATGATAGCCATCATCGATCTTTGTTCATATAGTTTACTGGTTTACATATACAAACTAGAGATTGAACACATAACAATTTACACCTTTTTCGTTAAATATCCAGAGGATTTCTGAACTACCTGCCAATAATGAATAACTCATTAGATCGAAGCTTAACTACAATTATAACATCATATTTTACTGATCACTTGTACACTCGGTTATTCACACCTGATTAAATGATTCAGCATTTGCTCATACCGGACTTCTCGATAATGATCTCAATAACTACACATTTTTACTTACTTACGCCTGTTACTCCTCGTGAAGGAGCATAGGCCGCTCACCAGCATTATCCATCCAACCCTGTCCTGGCCAATCCTTTCCAGCTCCTTCCAGTTGTTATTCATCTTTTTCACATTTGCTTCTATTTCCCGACGTAATGTGTTCTTTGGCCTTCCTCTTTTCCGCTTACCTTCAGGATTCCAAGTTAGGGCTTGCCTCGTGATGCAGTTTGATGATTTGCGTAATGTATGTCCTATCCATTTCCATAGTCTTTTCCTAATTTCTTCTTCAGTTGGAAGTTGGTTTGTTCTCTCCCAGAGAAGGCTGTTGCTGATGGTATCCGGCCAATGGATGTTGAGTATCTTGCGAAGACAGCTATTCATAAATACTTGTACCTTCTTGATGGTGGTTGTTGTAGTTCTCCAAGTTTCATCTCCATACAGTAGAACTGCCTTGACGTTGGTATTGAAGATTCTCACTTTGATATTGGTTGAAAGTTGTTTTGAGTTCCATACGTTCTTCAGTTGTAGGAATGCAGCCCTTGTTTTGCCAATCCTTGACTTTACATCTGCATCTCAACCTCCTTGTTCATCGATGATGCTTCCCAGGTATGTGGAGGATTCTACATTTTCCAGAGTTTCGCCATCAAGAGTGATTTGATTGCTGTTCATCGTTTTGAATTTGAGGACCTTGGTTTTCCATTTGTGTATGCTGAGACCCACTGATTCAGAGACTGCTGCTACACTGGCTGTCTTTATTTGCATTTGTTGGTGTGTATGTGATAGGAGGGCTAGGTCATCTGCGAAATCCAAATCGTCTAATTGATTTTGATCTGTCCATTGTATTCCGCATTTTCCCTCAGATGTCGAGGTCCTCATAATCCAGTCGACCACCAGAAGAAAGAGGAAGGGAGAGAGTAAACAGCCTTGTCTGACTCCGGTCCTTACTTGGAATGCATCTGTCAGCTGTCCTCCATGCACGACCTTGCACTGTAGTCCGTCGTATGAGTTCCGGATAATATTGATAATCTTCTCAGGAACTCCGTAGTGTCGAAGAAGTTTCCATAACGTCCTCTACACGTCATCTACACTGTCAAATGCCTTTTCATAATCAATGTACAGTGACGAGTTCCACTCAACTGATTGTTCGACGATGATCCGTAGTGTCGTGATTTGGTCTGTGCACAACTGATCCTTACGGAATCCAGCTTGTTGATCCCGAAGTTGGGCGTCTACTGTATCTTTCATTCGGTTCAGCAACACTCTGTTTAAGACTTTCCCTGGTATTGACAGCAGTGTGATGCCTCTGTAGTTTTTACATTTGCTCAGGTCTCCTTTCTTTGGAATCTTGATGAGCTGTCCTTCTTTCCAGTCCATCGGCTCTTGTTCCTCCTCCCAAATCCTCCTGAATAGAGTATGAAACATGTTTGTAGTTACTTTGATGTCTGACTTCAGTGCTCCAGCTCGTATATTGTCGAGTCCTGCTGCTTTCCCGCTCTTGATTTGTCTGGTCGCTATTCTTATTTCTTCTTCAGTTTTGAATTGGCTACAACTAGGTGGTGATCTGAAGCTATGTCAGCACCTCTCCTGGTTCTCACATCTTCCATTGTACTTCGGAATTTTTTGTTGATGCAAATATGATCTATCTGGTCTCTGTAGTGTGGTCCGGTGAGATCCATGTAGCCTTGTGTATACGTTTGTGTGGAAATATTGTGCCTCCTATGACCAATTTGTTGAATGCACACATATTTGCAAATCTTTCTCCATTTTCGTTTCTCTGTCCCAGTCAATGTCGTCCCATGATATCTTCATATCTGGTGTTGTCTATTCCGACTTTGGCATTTAGATCTCCCATCAGAATGGTGAGGTCCTTTCTTGTGCACTTCTCTATGAGTGACTGCATCCGCTCGTAGAATTGATCTTTAATGTCGTGGTTGCTATCATTGGTGGGTGCATAACATTGGGTAATATTCATTGTGATCCCCTCCTTCTTTGTTTTGAATGATGCTTTGATGATTCTGGATCCGTGAGATTCCCATCCTACAAGTGCATTTCGTGCTACTTTGGACAGCATTAGAGCAACTCCGTGAGTGTGTGAAGCATTTTCCTCTTCGTGGTCGGAGTATAACAGCATCTCTCCCCTATTTAGCCTTTGTTGTCCAACTTGTGTCCAATGGGTTTCGCTGATTCCCAGTACTGCCAACTTGTATCTCCTCATTTCCGTTGCTATTTGACTGGTCTTCCCGGTCTCCCACATCGTTCGGACGTTCCATGTACCTTTTAAATGTTTTGCTGTGGTTGTTAGAAGGGGCATCGGCCTCGTGGCTTCCGAAGGAACTCGGCTTTCACCATGAAGCGTCATAATTCTTCTAAATGAAGACCTAACTCTCAGGGCATAGTTTAAATGGTTTGAATTATTTTTTCTGGTTAGCGTTTTTTAGCGAGTTAGTTTTCTACGGGATGGGGTCGCTAATCCCATGCCCAACCCTCCTCCTTTACCCGGGCTTGGGACCGGCAGTAACTCGAGAAGAGCTACAGGCGGAGTTTACTACACATTTTTAGTAATATAATTTTATGATCCTTCATCCTCTACTATCTTTCTTGAAGATAACTTATGCGTAGTTAATTGACTAATCCCAAAAATCACTATGTAATATAGATTTGTGAATAATATAACTCTTTATCACGTACAAATAACTATTCTCGATTGTGTGTATATGTAACGGCTAGTATAACTACTTGATTGATCAAACTGAATCATGTGCAGATAGGAGTTCGAATCTGTAATACAAGAGTTGTTAACGTCTTTTATATTGATGTTATTATTGATTCATATAATTCATTGTTAAGTTATTGTTAAATTTTTCACGTACGTTTATATTTCAGATTATGTTGCTTATTTGAATTTTGATGTATGAAATATAAGTTAGTACTTCAGATTTTATTGTTCAAAGAAAAGAGACCATATTTTCACATAACTATTGTTGGTGTGCTTAAACAAGAAGAAAAAGAGATAGATAACGAACGGTCGTTATCGTTGATTACCATTATAAATTATTTTAATTAAAATCTTAGATTTTTATATGAAGAATGAATAAGAATAACCTGCTTAAATACCTGTCCATATTTGGTTGCGGTTCAAAAACTTTCGGTACAAAATGTGTAATATTACAACAAATTCCTGTCTAATATTCATCTAACCTGTGAATATACATATATCACATCTAGTGACAATTTTTCATACGACCATATATGACTATATATATATACCGACCCTTTACACTACTCACATTTTTACTAACCAAAGAACTTCCACATCCCACAATTTCCAAACACACATATTATAAGATTAATCTTAACTCAGCCTTCACAGTTGATTGATCACTGGATGGTGATCAATGTCATGTGCGTCAGGTCCTTCTTAGTGCAGATTGAATGCTATCGACTAAGTTGCGTTGTGGCTACTAGTCTAGGTGACTCGACATTGCGTTTACTATGTTAGAATAAGATGGTGGTTGGAGGTAGTCAACAGGAAACCCTGGACCCGGGTTTCGTGCTACCTGGCACTCGTCAGCAAGGTGTACCTATAATCTTGGGGGAACTGATGCTCCCTGACATCTCTGACTGTGATACCTGGTGACACGGGATTGAATCCATCAGGGAGCATCAGTTCCCTCAAGATTACAGGTACACTTTGCCGACGAGTACCGAATAACACGAAACCTGGATCCAGAGTTTCTTGTTGACTATCTCCAACCACCATCTTAACTCAGCCTCTACATTTTTGTATGTTAATCATTTAGGCTGATAATTAAACTCTTTGAACCTTCAGTCTTTGTAAATTTCAACCCAGTAATCTGTCCAGAAATGACTTTTTATTGTCATTAAACCTATCACTGTTATATGGATTCGAATATAATATCCAGACTAATGAGTTTTATACGGATTTTTCTCATCATATTTACCTTTGTGTTCGAGTTCATCTATGCCGTCCTTCATTTCTCATAATAATGTCTTAAATCACTGTTATCAGATTGTTCGAATTATTAACGATGTACAGTCTCCAAATACAACTTACTAAAAAGGAAATCAGTGTTGATTAATTTTATTGAAACCACTGACCGATCGTCACTTGATTAAAGTTAGGGTTGTACACCATTGTATCCTCGCTCAGTGGTTAACCGGTCTTGCTCGATACTCGAGATCTTGAACTCGATCCCACGTTTTTGGTGGCTTAGATCTGCACTGCTAAGCAGAATGGAACAGTCATTAAGTGCTTCCAGGTTCCCAATGGTTGTCTGGCTTAGATTGGTCTGTGATTTCAATGGAATTCAACAATTTTAACAGTTTTATACTGCTGAATGTCGATTACGATGAATTTTCGTTAAATCAAATTATTCAGTTTGAACTCTGCTCATGGACTCTCAATACATTTTTACCGTAATCTTTATTTAGTGACAAATACTCAATTCATAGATTTCAATCACTATAGTTGACATGTCACCAACTAACTTTTCGAAGTGATATTCTAAGGTTATCACAAAATGGCATCAATTACTAAACCGATAATTATTTCCTCTAGTTAACCCGGCATCAAAGAAGAGGATAGAAATATTCTCGTTCAATGTATTGAAGTTAGGGTTACGAAATATTATCATAGTCCAGGAACGTATTGACATAATCCTAATAAATTTGATTTTTTTCATTGTTTTATAAATGACGAATTCCTGATTCTTTTCTTTGAATGCTTGCCCTGAAGTTAATTTATGATTACAAACATATTTAAATTATTTCTTAACGATGAGTTATTACAAATCAATCATTGACGCTTAAGAATTTTAAATTTTAACAGTGATCTAGTGTAGTGTTACTGGGATATAGAATGAATTAAATCATGCTCTGTGCAGGATTATGTCGCGGCACTCAGATTCGCTATTTCTTAGCTAATCAGCGCATGCAGATACTTGGAGAGGACTAGAATTTTATTGTGTAAAATTATAAATATACTAATGTTATCCATATTTTGATTCCTACTTTCATTCAACCCTATTTATTTGTAATATAAGTACGTTCTTGTTCAACCTCGTTCTGATTTGGGGGCTTGTTGAATGAAGTAAACTATCCGAGTAATATTAAGCATTAGAAGTAGCTGTGTTGTGATAAGAGTTCATAACACTTAGATTAACGCATGATTTCAACACAGTTACTTATTTCTTTCAAACTCATTGAAGAAATTCGAACAGAAGTTTCATGTTTCATATATATGTTCCATTACATAATTGTCCATGTACATATTCGTTGATATCTATAAGATGAACAATCTTTACCATTTACGTTGACTCTAACTGAAAACTGCTAAAACTGACTAGCTAAATAATCTCTTCAATTCCATTCCATAGATCTTAATAAGCTTGACAATCCTGAATTTATGGTAGAAATTACAAATTCGGCAATCCCTACAACTCTCTACTATAATAATAATAATAATAATAATAATAATAATAATAATAATAATAATAATAATAATAATAATAATAATAATAATAATAATAATAATAATAATAAGAAGAAGAAGAAGAAGAAGAAGAAGAAGAAGAATAGATACATGCTCTTTGTTGACTAGATTTGAACGATAACTCTTGAGATCTTATGGAGTTCAACCATGTCGGGCGAATGACAGTTATTAATAATAGTGATGCAATACCAAAAATTCACTGAAGTTAGGAAGATAAAACACTAGATGTCAACCTAGCGATATGAAGGCTAAGGACTCTCTGCGAGGCCTGAAGGCCCCAAACTTAATCCTTGATTAGATCATGGATGAAAACTTCTGAGAAGTGGCATCCCAGGTCGATGCACTTGTCCAGTGTTTTCTTGTTTTCAGTGGTTATTTGGCTACAGTCAGCTCATGGTATTCACTGCAAAATTCCATTTACCTCACGATATGTTGTAACTTATCGTTGAAAATCTGTTTCATGTTCAGCTTAGCTAAACTTCACTGTTTCCTTTAAAAAAACAAAAGCGCTAACTGAAAATATCCCACATTTTTTACATTATTCAATAGAATTTGGTTAATTATGTGGCATAAATACCACCATTACTAGTTCAATAAATGAACCAATATGTTCTCACTCACATCACTTAACAATGTGTGCTAAGACACCTCAGACTCCAAGAGTTTCGTAATGGTTTATATGCTGTTCATCGTTTTTAGGCTTTCAATAGAGTCACAGTTTATTCTTAATTGTCTTTAATCAAGTGAATTATGGAAATCTCTTATTTTAATAAAACGTGAATTGTACATAATAACATAATTTCTACATGAATATGTTTTTGTCTGTGTTTATTTCTGTTATGTACTTGCATTTCTATTATCATCTGTTTTCTTTTTAATCAGTGTGACCAAGGTGATTGTCTATTCGAATTATTCATACAACTAGTTATAATTATGGTTGGTAAACAAATATTTAGTTTTATTCAAGAATCTTTAATGCCGTAAGTTGTTCCAACAATTTTCTATCCATTTTTATGGTTGATATCACTAAACAGCTGTATTTAGACAGTCATTGAAAACCAGGAAACAATGAAGAGCCGTTTCGTCTTAGTACGGGGCTCCTCAGCAGTATGGATCTCTAACCCTGTTGGAGATGGGAACCATGTTCTTCGAATTCCGTGGTTGGCGTTTGACGTTTAACCACTAACTTCTATCAATATGCCACTGATGTCAGTCTGTGATATCCATTACAAGTGTAACTATTTGCACAAACTCATTAAACTAATTACTATGCATTATTAATAAGTATGTATCCTATATGGAGTCGTAAATATATACATTTTGTCCATTTTTCTCTAGTCTGCAGTTGCTTTTCAATTTTTTAATATAAAAACCCACTGTATTTAAAACCAAGTGATAAATTTTTACTATGAATCTTGTCTGGTGTGGTGTTTTCTGATATAAACACATATCATAACTTTGATTTTCAACAGACAAGTGAAGTTTAAAATAGTGAGGTAACAGTAGAAGGATTTTCTAAATCTGATAGAATGGGAATGCTTAATCTTTATGAGTAGTATATATTTTACAGCTATTGGGCTACCAAACAAGTTATTTGTAATCTGATAAACATAGAAAACAACACGGAAATTCTATGAGATTCTTTTTCAGATTTCTGTTTTGTAAGAATTAATTAATGATATTATGGTATATGATTAACAGTGGAATCTAGGACGTATGTTTCGTTCTATTTGAGATTCATCAGCTGAACGTACCTCATAGAATACACATTTGTCAATAAAGACTGTCGAAAATTACAAATATTTATTATTATTATTATTATTATTATTATTATTATTATTATTATTATTATTATTATTAATGGCTTTATACAGTATTATGATTTTAGTACAATAATGAATTCTCCGCAAAAATTATTGCGATAAATTTCCTTTCTTCATATCTTTATCGATCCTGACGATGAATATTGATTGATCGCCAGTTAGATGTTAGTTGTTCAGGAATCGACATCTGGATAATATTGATTGTTTTCAATGTGTATTGCCAGCCACCACGATGTGTTTGATTGTGCATTTTTCGAACGTTGTAGAGTAAAAGGTTGTAAACGTTTCATAAACTCACCTGAATAGGTTATTCTCTTAATAGACTGTTAAGTTTTGCTGATTCGGACGCTATATTCGTTCCTAAGCTATTCTGATAACCCGCACGCTAGAACTATACAGCGACCTGAACACCATAAAGAAGACGCAAAGTATGAGAGAAACACTTTACTCCAAGGTTCGTTTTTGTACGGAAAACATGGGTATTTATAGATGTTGACGTTTGTTAAATCAACACCATATTTCGGCCAATCTGTTAACAACATATTATGCTACTGACCAATAGTAGCACGCCACGTTGGAATTCTAGAATGCTCCATCATGCTCTTATTGGCTAGGACTCTTTGGCTCTTTTTGGGCCTCTGGAGGCGCCATTGGAGTTCTCCGAAAGCCGACTCAACATAGACGTAATGATGTGTTAAAAGAAACGAAGAAACAGATAAGGAACAGGTGACGCGTATATTCAAGCAGGCTTCTACCTTCACCATTACATTATCATGTTGCCTTTTTGTATACATAATCATTTTTTTCTGCGCTTTTTTAATTTATTATACCATACTTTATTGAATAATTTTTCTGGTTTATCATTCATTTCTTGCCTAACTTTTATTTATTCCATTTAGTATTCTATGGAAATTATTTTTCAAATTTCGTTCAATGAAACGTTCATCTAATCATGCTAATCATAATTATATGAACAGTACAAATTATAATGAACAGAATTCAGTGACTACTTCTCTTTTACCAGCAAAATATCGTTCGTTGCGTGGACGAAATATTCTATGTCGTGCTGATTTTAATATGTTAGATCCTGGATCTAGACCATTGTTTAATGAGTACTTAGAAATGAGTAAGTGATTCCGTTTTCTTTTTTTTATTATTTATTTTCTCTACTTGATATTATTTTGGTGGTAGGTTGAAGGGAACATTATTTATTTATTTGTGTTATTATATCTGAGATTATATATCAAATAGATGGAAACCGACTGATAGTGTCATGTATGACACACCTACGGGAGTTGGAAAACCATGATTTCAAACCAATGGTACACATGAGCTCCAGTATCCTGAGGGAACAAATGGCGTATGAACCTATTGTTTGTCACCGGCTATCATCGGACTACATCTCCTAACGTTGCTCCATTCCCTTGTGGATTAGACCTCTAGGTTAAATGGTCAGGAAGTGGCTCCTTAAGAAAGCCACCTGTTTTGGTCGCCCAGCCAGTATTCCAGCCTTTAGAAAAATCGAATGGAGAAGTGTGCCACATATATATTTGGTGCCTCCTTGTACCAATGTTTACGTGTTTAAATAAATAAATAATGTATTACACACTAATTGAAAACATTATAAATAGTCTTAACCACTGACCTTAATATTTCCAGTCTAATTTTACAATGCACCAAATTGTAAGTGTTCATTAAATAATACCGACAAATCTAAGTTTTGTTTAAACTTTGTTTCTATATGTGACACAATGAATTACGATAGAATTCACAAATTGACTTCTACAGAAAATTTATGGAATTATAAAATACTCAGTATTAAGCTTATTTATTTTTTGAACCAGTAATCTCAGTCGGTTAGAGTTTCTAAGAATACCTAACTTATATGACTTTACATTAAGACTATACAATCCAATGAATGACTTTCTAACGTAGTGCATCTTAACCTGTTGACCAGGTCTTCTCGTTTTCCTAATTCAATTTGAAGGATAAAATCTTACCCAGAATGTTTATATTCAATAGCGTGGATGACAAAATTAACAAGGTGAAACATATCGTAACCAAATTGCCTCACTTGTCAGTCCTACCATGACATAGTAGGCTATGCTTAACATGCATATGTCGTGATAAAAAATTCCACGTCTAGTGATCAGTCTTTTGAAGTGGGAATATGTTCAGCATAATAGACTTATTTGGCTAGAGTTCGGTGTCTTCTCATTTACTTCACAGGCTTTTTCCATTTTTTCACAAGTATTTTTATGATCAATTTTTTTTAGTGATTCAATATGGATTCATCACTATGTTTGTTCCTGCATTTCCACTTGCACCATTATTTGGTTTATTAAACAATCTGTTTGAGATTCGTGGTGATGCTAAAAAATTAGTGAATCAATATCGTCGTCCAGTTCTTGAAAGAGTTCAAACAATTGGTAAGTGATATTGTTGTTTCTTATTGCTCGATTCAATACATTTTGACCCTTCTTCTTCACAATTTTATCACTCACTATTGGTTCATTGTGTCTCAACTCAGACTAATACATATGTAAATGGAATATACGCTTTAAGATATAAAATAAGAAAGTTTGATTCAGTGAAGAGTTCACTTTTCGTTGGACGTATTTTCAAAGTTATTCAATTGTAACTATATACATAATTTTCAAAATGATAATAATTGTAATAATAGGGATAATGAAATTTTGCTGAACATGATAACAGTGAAGTAAAGTGAATAAATGCATAAAAACGTTATTTTTACTAAGGAAACTAATAATGATGTTGTTAGTGAAAACGGATTATAATTAGGAAGGGAAAGCTTAGGGTGATAAGATAAAATGTGGGGATCGAAAAAAAATTGTGATCAAAAATGATCATAGAAACACAAACTAATCATCTGGGGGTAAAAGGTGTATGGAGAAGAAGAGAGGAAGGAAGCAGTCGGTTGGGAGAAAAATAGAAATCATAGGAGAATAAGACCGTGGTAGTAAAAGAGGCTGTCTTAGTTTTCTTTGTACTCAGAATTCTGATTTTTCTAAATGTTATAACAAGTGCTTTGGCTATGCTATGAAGGTAGGAGCTAACTGCCTTTGATAGCTTTCTACTTAACTTGTAAAGGACTTTAAATGCAGAGTCCGTTTTGGTTGAGTGATCTGTGTTAACAAGCTTTTCGATTATAAAGCTTCTTATTGAGGCATTTCCGCCTCTTTTCAGCCAAACCAGGTGTTGTTCTTGAATTCTTTGGGATAAACTACTCATCGAACGACCTAGATGCCTGGCTCCGCATGAACAGGTAAACTGAAAAATCCACATAGAATTGGTCAAAAGCGATAGTTGTTGAATACTGGTTAGCTAGAGAATACTAATCACAAAATTTCTGTGGAGAACGTTCTGTTGAGTGAGTTGGAAATCCTCCTCTTATAATGTATGTAGCTATATCACCTTTAAAATCGATGGTCATATAATGTGTCAGTATCTTTATATTATTTATGAATAAATTAATGGTATCATAACATTCTACTAAAATGGCAGATTGATTAACTTCATTATCTTAACAAATTGAAGTTTAGTTAATACTTACTATTTATTATGATGAACCGACTAGAATATCCACAATTGAAAGAACACTTCATAAAACCCTTCGTATTGAGAATTAATATCAAAATAAACAATCTTCATTTGTTCCGTTATATAAATACAGTACATAATCACATAGCATTAGAATCAACATTCATTAAATGAAGACTTTTAATACTAACATAACTGGTTAGTTGTGCACCAAAAGTTCCATGATGGAAACTTATCCAGTTACTAATTTACAGATAGAATGGAATATATGTGCGAGGTTTTACTATTGACCATCACTAAACACTATCATTATGCCATTTAGTGTCAATTTTAAAACGTTCATACTATTTCGCTGATAAATAAATAATGATCATTTATATCTCTACGATACTTTATGTATGAATAATAAACATATAAGTTAGTAAATAGATTATCATTTTATGTCTGGTGTATAGAAGCATTTTAAATTATCGTCTTTTATTTTTCTTTCAGGTATATGGTTGTCGATCATTACTGTTCTCGCAAGCATTGCTATTCGAACTAATGTAAGTCCTTCTTTTCATACTTATCACTTTCCTTTTCTTCGCTTTTTCCACACAAGATCTAACTCAGGACCTTCAGTTCTCATACTGTGATCCGACAGTGTGTATTTGGGGTCATTAAGTAGTATCACTGTCTTTAAACAATGACTTCATTGGCTTGTATATATCCTACAAATATCATCTCAGCATCTTCCAAATCGAGCATTGGTTGCTGATGCAGGGACTGAATAGGAAAAGTGGAGAGATAGTCACTTTGCAATTTGATGCTGTAGTGTGCACGAAGTTGTATAGGACTGATATTTGTTGGTCCATAACAACTCCCCAGTTGGAGTTTAAGAGACACTTGATTAACGGATTGGAATTGGATCATTTGTAAGTAAATACGCTCGGATATGTTTTGATAAATATAATGTTAATCGATTGGTAACATTCAATGACACAATATGACCCTGTGATAGCTGGTCACAAAACAGAGTTATTGACGTAAGCCTTCAAATGAATAGCTGTTACAAGATGTAACATTTCCCGAATAGAATAGTTTTTTCACGTAATAAAATTACATGCTTATAGACCAAATGTTAATACAAGATAAACGTGACTAGATAATATGACTGGATAATATGAATTTTGAAGATCTCTTGCTCTTCTGTGAATTCATGTGTATTTGTCATAACTAATGTCTCCTTATTAGTACCACGTGACAAGACACCAATCGTAATCCGTTCAGCACTAATAACGTTGACTCAACGCTAATCTCTTATCGGTCTTCGATTCGGCAACTTTTCTCCCTGCCCCGCCCGTTTAGTCCAGAACATAGTAATCCGCTATACGCATATTATATTTCAAGCATAAATAGTTTATATACGGACATACCCGACCACATGATCAAGCCAAAACGTGGCTGTACATAGGAGAGACTGTAAGTAATAGATTGGGAATACATTTAGAATGGTAAATCGTAAGACATTGGTTAGTGGGCTAGTCTAAAGCTCGTTTTAATAGGAATATATATATATGTGATAATAGCCTAGTTACTAATAATTATATAATAGGAATATATTTTTAATAATAGTCGACTAATTAGTCCTGGAAGTTACTATTCCTTTAGTTTTCGTTCGAATATAATATCATCCTTCTATGACGACATTGGTAAAACTGTGATACTTTTGACTCATGTCATATATTCTTGAAATTTCGTGGAAACTACCTTTCTCTCTCATCTACAGATAGACAAATGGTTGCTAAAGTATTGACAGAAAATTTGAGGCGACTCATTTTCGTTTACTAATTGATAAGTAAACACAAAACATTCCGAATTAAAGTGTCTCATTCCGTCAAACAAACAATATATCTAGAAATAGGTCATTACACACCGGTAACTATTTCCAAACGGAGACAACTTTTTCTTTTAAGTTCCATATAAATAACTTTCCAGTAAATATTATTATTTCGATTATGTTATCATAACAATTTGTAAAGGGTCTAACTTATTGTTAAGTGAAATGTAGCTAAGTAATTAACTTATAAGCAAAGATGGTTGGTTGCTAGCAGTGGAAGTCTAGGACAAACGTTTCATCCTATTTGGGATTTGACCTATATTCAAATACTAGTCACTATCTCTCTCTGCTTATAATACTTATAACTTGAGGTAATATCAAGGTAATTCGCACAAGATGCACATATGTCCATAAGAAACTGATTAATTGCAGCCCCTAACATTAGAGGGAAGACTGAAGTAAGCGATACAAAATGAATGTAAGTATTTAACTGTTCATTAGAATTTTAAAAACTCCTATGGATGAAATGAAATTTTGTGTGACTGAATAGACAAGCTATCATTTACGCCTTGCACCTTTATCTTCTTTGAATAAGTCTGTTAAACATGTTACAATGTGACTGTATACTGATTGATAAAGATTACTAAATTAACCATGTATTTTTTATTTCTATTCTATTTCCTTATTTCAATCTAGGCTTGTATTATTGCATTTACTACACAGTTTATTGACCGATGTGTATACCGTTATACTTATAGTCCAGATGGTACTATGAAAGGTTTTGTGAATTTCACTCTCTCCTATATGTCTACAACTCGTTTTGATGTTCCAACTAATGAAACTTATTGCAGGTATTATTAAATTTGAACGATAACTGTGTTGTATGTATGTGTATCATTCTTTAAGGTGTGTATACATTTCAAAAATATAGTTGTCCAGCCATTCGAATGTGTTTCTGTTTGGTATCATACCTCTGTTTGCAGTATATACTAATCTAAGGTGTCTAATGCCAAACAAAGTCGATTGACTTGTTTGAAAATAATTTATTGATTGCGTATAGAGGAATTTCGTGTATCAGTATTAGCTTAAGAAATTGCGTGTCATAACAAATTCCATAGAATATTCACTACTTATATTTAGTTTATTGAAATTCAAGTATTGTTCAACTCCACTTGTTACTTAGATTATCACTTCCTCAATCAACATTTTAACTCTTGTAATAATTTCAGATTAATCCGATTGATTGATTTGTCATTATGTATTTTGTACTATTTAGGTCAAATAAACATTGGCGCTGAGAGAGTGTGTGTAGGCTCGTCGATACAAAAAATTGTCTTATCAATTACGATTACTTTGTTCTTTTTTCGATATATAGCGAGTGTTTTAAAACTTTAAATCTAGGCTTAAACCTAGGTTTCGTGCTACTTGGCACTCGTCAGCAAGGTGTACCTGTAATCTTGAGGGAACTGGTGCTCCCTGGCGGATTTGACCTCGTGTCACCCAGCTTCACAGTCAGACACGTTACCACTGAGCTGTGAGAGCAGCGAATGACCTCCTATAGGACTGAAATGTATTTACAATTAGTTGATCACTGGGTAGTGATCAATGTCATGTGTGTCAGATCCTTCTTAGTGCAGATCGAATTCTACCAAGCCAAGTTTCAATGTGGTCATTAGTTTAGGTGAGTCTGCATAAGACAGTAATTAGTTTAAAAGAAATTATTTAAGAAAAAATGACCATGTTTTGGCAAGCTCACAAACTATTTTCATAATTAATAGTGATATTAACATCAGTCTAAATCTATTCAAAAGGAATACATTATTTGTATTTAACCTTTAGTCACTAATAAAATTTATTATTGATGAGAGTAAGTTTGTTTTTTTTCATGATAAAAAATTTCTTGAAATAGATTTTTCTTGTGTAAAAGTAAACATTTTCTGTTTAAATATTACTGTGTGTTTGTGTGTGTGTGTGTGTTTTGTCGTTTTACACAAGATATGATTCTTATCGTTCACCACCTTGGTCTTCAGAACCATATGTATTCACTTCCGTTTATTATCATGTGTTGGCAGCTAAATTCATTTTTGTTTTTGCTTTTGAAGTAAGTTAAACGTTTTATTTTCTTGAATGAGGTTCACTTATTTTGATATTCATTTAATTTAGGTTATTGTAACTTATATGTTGTATACACTTCTATATTTCTAATTACATTTTCGATTTTTACGTTGATTTTCATTGTGAATGTATCTGATTTACGTTAAGACCTTGGATGTGTACTGTATAGAGTTAGTCGGCGATCATAAGGCTTTGAATATACCGGTCCTCATTCGATCACCGATGTTAAACGTCGTTAGAATCAATCCATGTTTTTGAAGAAATGACTTAGAGGCATCGACTTCCAAACACTCAAGACTTAGGTTTGAGTACCACGAGCCGGCTTCATTTTAGTCTCAAAGTTGAATAAACGAATCTGTACTTCATGAGTTGCATCATTGAATGACCACTGAATGTACGTATTCCTTTTTAGTATGGATCAAAAAGTTAATCTAAGTAAAATTATTAGGTATATGATATCTAGTGACACTCGTGTTTGACACCTATAATAGTAATTCTGTTATATAATTATATTACCCTCACGGTACAACTGTTCGATAGAATTCATTTATAAATTATTCATATAATATTTCTTAATCGATAAAAATATGTATAAGCCAAACACATTATGTAAATAACAGTAATAAATAACAAAGCGATGAATTAATTTCATTGAGATCATGAATCGACCAAATTTGTACCACCATTGAAAACCTTGAAGCACCGAACGGCCGTTTCATTCGAGTATGGAACTCCTCAGCAGTGCTCATCCACGATCTCACACGCAGGATTCAAACCCAGGATCATTAGTCTCGCGCGAACATTCAACCTCCAGATCATTGAGTCGGGATTCAACAGTGTTAATTTCCAACTGCAATCAATTCACGATGCTGTGCAATCATTTTCTGCTGTCTTCGGTAGGTAACTGCCATACACTAGACATGGTTGGACTCCACTGGTCGCGGCTTCTGAGAAGAGCTCTGAGAATTACCTGTCGAAGTTAGTCACTAGTCACTACATGATGATTATCACTATAGGCTTGTGAATATTTTTACGTTCCATTGAGATCACGAAACAACCTAACATTGATTGGTTCATGATCTCAATGAAACTCAACAATCTCCACAGCCGCTTACTGACCAGTTAATTCTTTAATACGTGAATTAGGTAATTTTATTATTATATCAAAAAAGATTCGACAAAGGATAAGCTTGCAGAACCGTTCTATGGAGAAATAATGTTTATCTTTTCACTGTATAGTTATAAGATTTGTGAATTATTATTGTTTTATATTTTCCTGTGTGTGAGCTTTCGTTTAATTTACAAACCATTATTATTTATTTCTGTGAGACGTGCATTAAACTTCAGAAACTCATTGAGTGTCTTAAATGCAAGAGGGTCCCCATGCGATTTTAGAATATTAAAGATTCCCATTGTGAAAATTAGAACAACACATATAAGCGAACAATATTGTTTTCAATTAGATCGTCATCAGGCTTTACTCTAATATACATGAATATTTATACGAAAATGTTAAACCAATCAAGGCAATTTAGGTCAATAATCACAATGAAATAGAATAAGTCTCTGCACATAATAGGTAAAAATACAAATTGATAGTAGGAAGACAGGTGTACTGATAGTAGTAAGAATAATAAAATACGATAACAGAAGTCTTATCATTAGTAAAACGTTGGAGATAGAAGGCTAAACGTGGGTAAATAGACTCGTATAAATATTCATGCATATTAGAGTAAAGCCTGATGACGATCTAATTGAAAACAATTGTTCGCTTATATGTGTTGTTCTAATTTTCACAATGAGAATCTTTAATATTCTAAAATCGCATGGGGACCCTGTTGCATTTAAGACACTCAATGAGTTTCCGAAGTTTAATGCACGTCTCACAGAAGCGAAAACAAGCTTAGGATTTGCTATTTATTGTATACAATCCAATAGATATCCTAAAATATATTATTATTTATGTCACTGTTCTGGATTTATCATTAATTAGTTATTTTCATATTTGTGTTGAATTACTCTCAAGCATTTAAAGCATATTAAAAGTTTTAAAATTATGGATTAATAGTTTACAATAGAGAATTCATCTACATAGTATTTTCATCATTTAATTGGACTCCATTAGATCAAATAGATCTCATGGATTAAAAATGTTATAACTTGTGAACCTATGTGCCCTGTTTATTGTATAACGCAATGATGCCGCCAATCAGAGAGCACCGAATTACCGATCAAACCAGTGAGTCCTTATTGGTCTCGCTTCCTGTCTAGTTAAGTCCAGAACACCAATCTCAGCTTCTTCAATATAAATCCTTTATTTCCTTTATTACGGGGTTTATATACCAATCAAACAGACCACAACGTACCATGAATTAGAAAATAACATTTGTACAATATTTGGCCAAAAGTGGCTGTGAATGGGGGAGATAGTATTTAATAGACAGGCCATAACTCAAGAATGGTAAATCGTATAGTAATAGTCTATGGGTCAAATTAAAGCTTATAATAAGAGCGACATGAATATGAACAGTTTAGTTACATAACAATTATACGATAAAAATATACTCATAATATTGGTCCATAAACGAATCCCAAAAGTTACCATTCATTATTCTTATCGGGATATAACAAAAAAGTATTAAGAATCTCTGGTTATCATTCACAGCCACTGGATAATTGGTCAAGAAAAAAAACCATTGACTAAATAAAAACAGGCAGTTTAGTGAATAAGTTTAATAGTGAACTGCATAATACAATTAACTCCTATAACTGTCAGCTCTACCAAGTGTAGAGCTAGTTTATTGTTTTTGTAATTCATAATAATTATTACGAAGAGATCATAATTAACTTACTTACTTACGCCTATTACCCCTCATGAAGGATCATAGGACACTCATAGTTGTAGAATTATCCAAGTACATAATTTTTGTTAATTTATTACAATAACCAAAAACACATTCTTATACTAATGCAAGATATAATGACTAGTGAGTAAACCGAACAATCAGTGAAAGTGTTATATCCGGACGAGAATAATGGATTGTAACTGCTGGGATCCATTTATGAACTAATACTATACGTATATTCTTATATTATAACTAGTTAGTAGCTAGATTATATATGTTTATGTTCCTCTTATTCTAAGCTTCGTTTTGATCTATAAATTATTATTATATGATATACTGCTCTTAAATTATGTCCAGTTTATTAATAGCCAGGATGTTTGGGTTGCGTTTCTTCCCCTCTAAATGCAAGTTGTTGCTTCAGGACTGGCCTGCATCAACATCTAAACTAAGGATAGGGAGTGAAGTAGTCGAAGGCGTCGACGACTTCACTTAACTTGGAAGTCTGACCAGCCATAATGGGTTGATATCTAACGAAATCTCATCGCAGATTCAGACAGCTCGTTTGGCTTTTGCCAACTTACGACACTTATGGTGAGGGCGAGATATCCGTCTGTCAATTAATGGAAAAGTATACTGCTTGGCAGTTCGTTCTGTTCTACCTTACGGCTGCGAAATGTGGCCATTAAGAGTAGAAGATACTCGGACATTACTAGTATTTGATCACAGATGTCTTAGAAATATTGCTCGCATCTGTTGGGATCACCGGATAAGTGATAGTGAAGTTAGGGAATGATGGTAAATCAGTTGATGAGGTTGTGAAACTTCATCGACTGAGACGGCTGGGCGACGTGTTGCGCATCCCTAAACACCGATCACCACGACGTGCAATGCTGACCAGTGTTGAACATGGTTGGAAGTAAGTTAGGGGCGACCAAACGAAAACGTGGCATCAGTCCTCGAAGTCACTAACTTCTAGTCTTAGCCATGTTGGTAGATGCAAACTACTTGGTTGGGGTCCGCGTGACTATCCTAACCAATGGTTGGAGACTCTGGGTGACATGGCTCAGAATCGATCACAGTGGTGTAGGTGAATACATTCTCTCTTCCCTTAAACCGTGAGATTACAATTGCTTTATATCTTTCTTTCTATGAACTAATTCTTTCTTCCTGTACTATATCCTTATTGCAATCTTTCTTTTATATATTACCACCTCTGAATTAACTACTTCTATGAATTTAGTGTTCATCTTGTTGTGCTAATGCGGTGTCGAAACTTGAACCGATGCATTTATTTGCCTGGTCCTATGTTTTAACTGGCTGAGTTTAGTAATTACAGTCTCCTACGTTCACAGCCACTTTTTCGTTTGGTCTTGTACAAATGTTATTTCCTAATTTATGATGTGATGTGGTCCATTTTGCATATAAATCAGGTGTGTTTGCATTAAATGACTCGTATAGTTGAAGCTGTTATTGGTGTTGTGGATTCAATTGGCTTGGTTATGAAGGAAAAGGACCACTAAGGACGTTAGGTTGCTCATACCGGTCGATAAGTCATTGGTTTGGCACAGTGCTAGAATTGTATAAGTCGTATTCCGATTGGCGAGCTGAAAGTAACAACAGAAAGCTTTTGTATTCTTTATAACTGTTTGACTAATATCAAGTTTTTAAGAAAATCGCTTTAATAAAACCCAGAAATCTTTATTCGTTTAACATATAATGCACATATATAATATTAATCTTTATGACCATAATTATTAATTAATTATAATAGACTATAGCGACTATTCTAACTAATGTGATCATGGCAGCTGTACCGGATGTCCCTAAACGTGTTAGAAAGCAAATAGTTCATGAAACCAATATTACAAATGCAATTATTTTAAATGCAGAAGTTGGCAATCATCAATATAATAATGCGATTACAAAAGATGTTAACTTTCAGAAAATTTTCATGTTAAAACAACAACATGAGAAACTTCAATCTAGTAATTGCAATATTAATAATGAAGTGACTGAAAACAACGATCAAGAAGGAAATATTGATAGAAATGAAATTTGTTCTCAATCGCTTGTTTATAAATATGTGAGTTTTGAAAGGGTACCACCTGTTACACTGGTAAGTATTTTCATTTTGAACGGTGTATTATTAGCCTATATTCTAACATATTTGTTTTAATGGCTGAATTCATGGGTCAATCTAAGCTAGACCACCATTGAAAACCCGGAAGCACTTGACGGCCGTTTCGTTCTAGTATAGGACTCCTTGACAGTGCTCATCAGCGATCCCGCACTCGGGACTCGAATCGATGAACTTTCGTCTCGCGCGAACGCTTTACTTCTAGACCACTGAGCTTGTATCTAATGGTATTACTCATCAATGAACGGTTGTGTTAAAACCTATCATATTACGAAGCGATTAAGAATTATTATAGTTATCTGTATGTGTAACACTAATTTATGAGTTTTAAACATGTATATAAAGTCAGTTATTTAGAAAAGCGACTTGGATTTTACTGACAAAGAGTATATTTCTTTAATATTATTAAAGATATACACATTACTATGAAGCCATGATGAAAAACTGATTGAAAAGAAATATTTCTTTGCTGTATTCGTCTTTTTACTGAGAGTAAAAATCGTTTTATTGAATATATGTTTGCTCACAGTTAAGTATTGTAAATAGAAAATTTATGGAACATTGCAAAAACTTCCCTTTAATGATATCCCTTTTCCATCGTATACGTTTCATTGTAATCACTCCTAGTTTTCTTTTTTCAAAAAAACAAATAATAAGGGAATAGCTATTAGTTCCGCTCTAGTTTGACGATATTAAACTTTGTGATAAATCTATACTGTGATATGTGTAATCAATCGAAACTATGATAAGTATCGTTATTCATTTATCCTTTCGATAATAACAGTCATATTACATCGCTAGCGTACGTTAGTCTACAAATATTGGTCATCTGTTTCTAACTCAACAACACAATGATAACAAGTTTGCTCTGTAGTTTAAAGGTCTTGAATTCCATTTCACATGAACAATAGTACATTCTGGTAGAGAGCTTCAAACTAAAACATCAGACTATTGTTTGTCAAATTTAGATAGGATTAAATATATTGGACATTTATCTGAGTGATTTGAAGAGATGAGTTGAAATCGGATTTATCTAGGGATGGTTATCAGTTAACTTCCCTACAAATTTTTGACTAAACACTAAGCATTTGTTCAGTAATGATTGACTTTGTGATCAGCTATAGTTGTAGCAAGGCTTTATGTCTGATGTGATCAGTAAAACAGTTACCTACTACGCTACATCGAGAATAGTTGGAAATGTAGACCACTATATGTGTCTTCAGTGATCTAAATGGTAACACGCTAACCGTAGGATTTAAGGATACTAAGTTCTATCCTGAAGAGAGTTGTGAGTGCACGCACATTGCTGAGGAGTTCCATACTAGGACAAAACGACTGTCTACTGCTTCACATAAGTGATACCAATTCACAACAAAATTTTACTTCAACATTATACACTATCATTCACTTCTTTAGGCATGTAATGTCAGCACCTAGAATTCACTTGTAAACATGAAAATATCTCACCCCTTTACTTCTGTCCTATCTGCTTTCTCTCTCTCTCTCTCTCTCTCTCTATTCCTAGTCATCACAACCAATGCATCTTACTGTGCCTAATTTACATGATAACCGACCATCTATTGGATTCGAAGATTTAAGCAATCATAATAACAAGAATATGATTTAAAACCCAAACTTATATAATATGTTGTGTTTTTTTCAATGTTTATCCTATTTTTTGTTCAATATTGTCATTCTTTCATTTAAATTATATAAATAGTTAGTTTAATTTCTTTGTTCTAATTCACTCATTTATTTGTTTATCTTGCCTACTACATATTGTGTTGTGGTTGTTGTTACTATTACGTAATTTGTTTCGTTTTGTTTTCTCTTTCTATTGACTTATTTGTACATTGATTTTTTTCTTCTTGGTCAATTCATTTGTTATTTGTACCGAACGAGAACAATCATTATTGAAGCGCGGCAACGACATTTTTCATTTCATAGAATAAAATTTTCATTAGAAATATACCATTATTTTAACAGTTAATATTCTAACAGATTTTACTATTTTAATGAATCACTCACTCTCTCTCTCACACACACACACAATCAGTCAATTGGACAAGATATATATATACACATGTATATTCAACGCCAATGTTTTATCAATGAAAACACAGGGAATATTCAATGGCATAACGTGTTGTTGTTGTTTCTCTCTCCAATGTAATAATTAACAAATTATTATACAAATAAAGTAGGTAGAACCAATTTTTGTTTTTTCTCTGTTTTCTTTTTTTGTTTTTCTTCTGGCTTTTGATATAGATAGATAGATTTGTATTTTACTCACTTATATACTTCTTTTTCTAAGTAATACGACTAGAAATCACCTTTTTTCTTCTTTTTTGTGTTATCTTTATATTTTTGTTTTGTGCTTATGTGTTTAGTAATGTGATGATTGTCTTTTTCCTTTGTCCTTCACACGACATTTTGTTTTGTTTATTTTTTTTAGTGATTTCTCATATTTGTACTTAATAACATAATAATCATGTTTAGGATAATTAAACTTTCTGCATCAAATGAGATTAGATTTCAGTGTTTTTCTTCCTTTTTGTGTATACTCAGTCTGTGTTATGACTTTTATTCGGTTAATTATCATGTGTGACTTTGACACTATCCCAAACCAATGATGCGTTAACCAGTACAAGCAGCCTAGAGTTAACTATCAGTTCTTATTGGTTCTTCTTGTCTAACCCTGTCTGTTTGAGTCCAAAACATCAATATCAGCTTCCACTGTAGGAATGATGTATTTCAGACATATTTAGTTTATATACAAGCAAATAAGACCTCATCATACCATAAAATAGAAAATAACAATTATCCAAGATCAAGCTAAAAGTAGTTGTAAATGTGAGAGGCTGTGATTAATAGATTGAGGATAACTTAAGAATACTAAATTGTATAATAGTAGTTAACAGGTCAAATAAAAGCTTATAATAAAAGGAATATGAATATCCATATAATATAGTAATCCAGTAGGAATATATGTAATAATAGTCTATAAATAATTCCTAGCAGCTACCATTCATTTATTCTTCGTTAGGATATAATAGTCTGTATCAATCGAGTTTTGTTAGAATTGGTGAGGTGGAAATTTCCTACTTGAAGATGAAGCACTATGTTGATTTCACGATGATCGGAGGATACTGGTACTAATGAGATATTTATTATTTTGAAATTCACATGCCTTCTGTCGACTAATCATGTTCATAAAAGTCGAATATGAAATGTATTTTGAATACCTACTTATATTTTATACGTGCACATGAGTAGTAGACGAACGATAAAAGGTGATTCAGTTTACGTATAAAGCGAATAATGTATATTCTATTACAGATAATAGATGGACAGTTAATCCAAGCATATATATTTAAGAATGATCTACGTTACAAGCGATTTATTTGCACTTGTTACTTATCGAGTATACAGAATGAACTCACTTTGAACGTAATAAGGAGTGCATACAAGTCATTACAAAGATCAGATCTTCCATACTTGAATATCATTATTAATTTAACTATCACTATGAATCATCAATTAAATAAATATTCTAGAAACAGTTTCATAATTCATGTTAGTGTACAGGTATGATGAGGTTAATTCACTAACTAATCTAGCATGGAAAACCTTAGAGGTCTAAATATAAATTGTTTGAAAAGATAAGTAATATGTTTTAGAAGGATATTTGTCACAGGGAATATAATAATGTGAAGTTGAAGTTGAGGTTCACTATTGATACTTCATACCTGATGGTTTTTGATGTGTTGTATTGTAAGTAAAATATAATTGGTCGTTGAGCGTAAACAAACAGGCACTTAGCCTAGTAACTATTATATATGTCAATTCCTTTCCTCTCATTCATTTTTACTCCAGACTCACTGAGAGTGACTACTTGTAACTGTGTTGAATAAAGTATTATCTAGCCTTCACTCTGAATCTCTATTCTTTGTGGTCAATCTTTGATCTGATATTGCGTGACCAATCTCATTACCGTTTTACCGTAGTAAAATTGAAAGTGAAATATTTCTAAACTATCCGTTATATCAGTTTTAATGCTATCACGGAGTACTTACAGTTATTTACAACTAGGAAGAAAATAATCGAAACAGCGAACACATAATAACAGGAACTAAATTATCAGTGTTTTTATTTGTTTTCATATATGTGATTGATTGTGCTTGTTTTCAATTAATTAGAATAGATATTTTTTAATTCCATGACCTCATTTTTCTTCGAATTATATCATCTGTACCTTATGTTTTCTACTGTTTTTAATTTTACTAGTCCAAGATTTGTCTCGAACATTTCATCTCGTTGTGCTAATATAGTATGGCAACTTGATACAATGCGTATATCTGCTTTGTTCTATGTTCCAGATGACTTATTGATTGAATAATGTAAACCATATTTGGAAAATATATTTCGTTCAGCCGATTCCGAGTGTGTTCCAATAATTAGAATGTGATCATTTATAAATCTGTAGAAGAAAAGAAAATTTTCCTACCGAGATTTCAAAGAAATGCTTCGAAGGAATTGCATAGTGAGTGATAAACGGCATTTCTAATCTACTACACTGAATTGTAATGTATATCTATGAAATGAAGGACCTTATGTTGAGCGTAAATCAAGGATGATAATTTACCGATATGACTGAAACATAATCACATTCTGTACATAATAGGCCGAATTTCGAAAATGTAGACAAGTGGATTAGTGTCAAGTACCAACCGCTAAACTTGAGTATAAATTACTATAAACTTGTATGCTCACATAAGCATTACCTACTTACGCCTGTTACTCCTCGTGAACGAGCATGGGCCGCTCACCAGCATTCTCCATCCAACCCTGTCCTGGACAATCCTTTCCAGCTCCTTCCAGTTGTTATTTATCTTTTTCATATCTGCTTCTATTTCCCGACGTAATGTGTTCTTTGGCCTTCCTCTTTTCCGTTTCCCTTCAGGATTTCAAGTTAAGGCTTGCCTCGTGATGCAGTTTGGTGATTTACCTGATGTATGTCCTATCCATTTCCATAGTCTTTTCCTAATTTCTTCTTCAGCTGGAAGCTGGTTTGTTCTCTCCCAGAGAAGGCTGTTGCTGATGGTATCCGGCCAATGGATGTTGAGTATCTTGCGAAGACAGCTATTCATAAATACTTGTACCTTGTTGATGATGGTTGTTGTAGTTCTCCAAGTTTCAGCTCCATACAGTAGAACTGCCTTGACGTTGGTATTGAAGATTCTCACTTTGATATTGGTTGAAAGTTGTTTTGAGTTCCATATGTTCTTCAACTGAAGGAATGCGGCCCATGCTTTTCCAATCCTTGACTTTACGTCTGCATCTCAACCTCCTTGTTCATCGATGATGCTTCCCAGGTATGTGGAGGATTCTACATCTTCCAGAGTTTCGCCATCAAGAGTGATTAGATTGCTGTTCTTCGTTTTGAATTTGAGGACCTTGGTTTTCTCCTTGTGTATGCTGAGACCCACTGATGCAGAGACTGCTGCTACACTGGCTGTACTTATCTGCATTTTTTCATGTGTATGTGATAGGAGGGCTAGGTCATCTGCGAAGTCCAAATCGTCTAATTGATTCTGAGCTGTCCATTGTATTCCGCATTTTCCCTCAAATGTCGAGGTCCTCATAATCCAGTCGACCACCAGAAGAAAGAGGAAGGGAGAGAGTAAACAGCCTTGTCTGCCTCCGGTCCTTACTTGGAATGCATCTGTCAGCTGTCCTCCATGCACGACCTTGCACTGCAGTCCGTCGTATGAGTTCCGGATAATATTGATAATCTTCTCAGGAACTCCGTAGTGTTGAAGAAGTTTCCATAACGTCCTCTACACGTCATCTACACTGTCAAATGCCTTTTCATAATCAATGAAGTTGATGTACAGTGTTGAGTTCGACTCAGTTGATTGTTCGACGATGATCCGTAGTGTCGTGATTTGGTCTGTGCACAACCGATCCTTACGGAATCCAGCTTGTTGATCTCGAAGTTAGGCGTCTACTACATCTTTCATCCGGTTCAGCAACACTCTGTTAAAGACTTTCCCTGGTATTGACAGCAGTGTGATGCCTCTGTAGTTTTTACATTTGCTCAGATCTCCTTTCTTTGGAATCTTGATGAGGTGTCCTTCTTTCCAGTCCATCGGTACTTGTTCCTCCTCCCAAATCCTCCTGAATAGAGTATGAAACATGTTTGTAGTTACTTTGATGTCTGACTTCAGTGCTTCAGCTGGTATATTGTCGAGTCCTGCTGCTTTCCCTCTCTTGATTTGTCTGATCGCTATTCTGATTTCTTCCGTCGTTGATGGATTGACATCTGTAGGAAGATCTGTGTGTGCTGCTTCGATGTCCGGTGGATTAATTGGAGCCGGCCTATTCAGGAGTTCCTCGAAGTATTCTACCCATCTATTCATCTGTTGTTGAATTTCAGTGATTGGCCTGCCTTCTTTGTCCTTGACCGGTCTCTCTGGTTTACTGTATTTCCCTGCTAGTTTCTTCGTTGTATCGTAAAGTTGTTTCATATTTCCTTCCCTTGCAACTTTTTCCGCCGTCGTTGCTAGTTCTTCCACGTATTTCTTCTTGTCGGCTCTAATGCTCCTCTTCACTTGCTTGTTTGCTTCTGTGTATTCAGCTTGTGCTTGGACTTTCTCTGCTCGTGTACGGTTGTTGTTAATTGCTACCTTCTTTTCTTCCTTTCTTTGATCTTGTCTAGAGTTTCTATAGAGATCCATTCCTTATGATGGTGTTTCTTTAGGCCCAGAACCTCTTGACACGTTGAAGTTAATGCTTCTTTGATGCCTTTCCAGTTGTCCTCCATAGTAGTTTCTTCTTCCTTCAGTAGATCTTGTAAAGCTTGGAACCTGTTGTTGAGAGCTGTCTTGAATCCATTGAGTTTGTCAGTATCTGGAAGGAAGGCTGTTTTGAACCTTTGTATTGCTGTTTGTCCAGTTGTCCAGTTCTTTTTTAGCTTCAGTTTTGAATTGGCTACAACTAGGTGGTGATCTGAAGCTATGTCAGCACCTCTCCTGGTTCTTACATCTTCCATTGTACTTCGGAATATTTTGTTGATGCAAATATGATCTATCTGGTCTCTGTAGTGTGGTCCGGTGAGATCCATGTAGCCTTGTGTATACGTTCGTGTGGAAATATTGTGCCTCCTATGACCAATTTGTTGAATTCACATAGATTTGCAAATCTTTCTCCATTTTCGTTTCTCTGTCCCAGTCAATGTCGTCCCATGATATCTTCATATCTGGTGTTGTCTATTCAGACTTTGGCATTTAGATCTCCCATCAGAATGGTGAGGTCCTTTCTTGTGCACTTCTCTATGAGTGACTGCATCCGCTCGTAGAATTGATCTTTAATGTCGTGGTTGCTATCATTGGTGGGTGCATAACATTGGGTAATATTCATTGTGATCCCCTCCTTCTTTGTTTTGAATGATGCTTTGATGATTCTGGATCCGTGAGATTCCCATCCTACAAGTGCATTTCGTGCTACTTTGAACAGCATTAGAGCAACTCCGTGAGTGTGTGAAGCATTTTCCTCTTCGTGGTCGGAGTATAACAGCATCTCTCCCCTATTTAGCCTTTGTTGTCCAACTTGTGTCCAATGGGTT